TGATATTATGTTTGAACCCATTATGGACTTCTCATTATAAAGTCATATTAAGAAGAAAGAGATAATACAGTGGTACATGGAAGGGAGTTTGTCGATTGAATGACATGTAACCGCCATGACTCTTGTTATAGTTGTATATTTAATTATGAATAATGATAGAACCAATTTATGTAATGTCCTTTAATACGCATTATGACTTAAGTATTAAATCACAGAATCGTATGACATCACATGAGTCAAGTGGGAGAATGTTAGAATTAATTTAATTAATTCATTCCATTATTTGACTCATATGAAATATAATGATAGGCCTAAATGTGATTTAATAAAATACGAGGACCTATTGGTTATTATGTGAAGTCAGAATAAAATAAAGATAAAATAAAATATTAACTTACGGTAACCAACTTGATGGAGGTTGGTTAATAAAAGGGATTAGGGTTCTGTCTCTGGTCATAAGGTTTTTTCATGGTAAACCATCGAGAAAGTGTGAAAAGAGAAAGAAAGACAAAGAGATAGATTGAGAAAAAGAGATTAGAGAATGAGAAGATTAAAGAATATATTCTCATGGATCAAGATTAGTTTTCTTATTATGATTCATGTATGTTATGTTGTGAAAATCAATAATCTAAAGATTCTGTAGAGTAGTTTTTCATAATGAATTAAGAACGTAGGAAAACTACAAATTAACTACATAATAGATTTTACAAAATCTACCAACACATTCAATAACAATCATTCACGATAGATTTGAATGATGATATGAAGTATATCTCAGAGGAGCCAACATTTCATGGCTTAGCAGAAGATGTTTCTTGCTCCCCCATACAATGATTCACATAATCTAACACCAACACCATTTATCCTATCTGGTGGTACATCTTATTCCCGGGCTAAAAAAGGAAGATCTCGATGATAGATGTGGGAAAGACCCAGTTTTAAAATTTAAATACTAAACTAGACGTTGTTATTGAAGCAATTGGCAGAGATAATGACATTTATGACAAATTGACAACATATGCAAAAAGACAAGTGATGACCTTTGAAAATAGGAACGAATTGTTGCACAAGAATGCAAACTTTTAGCACTCTAAAATCGACATCTGGCAGTTATTAGTTGACATGGGAATTGGTGATGAAAAATTGATGGACTGTTGTTACGACTTCTTGTGTGCACATCCATAACACAAAACATTTATTTGGGATATCAGCTTCTCAGTGTATGAACAAATTAATTAGTATGATATCAAGAAATCAAAGTTGGTTTGTTTGTAATTTGATTGAGAACTATTTTAGTAGCTTGTATAAATGTAAATGTGTATTGAATAATTTCTTTTTTTATTTATATCATCTACTTAAATTGCATTTTATGTTGTGAATTAGTCATTTACAACTTATCATTAATTGTAGTATGTATTATATTTTGTCTTCCATTCATAATTATCATTTTTCCGTTATATTTGTGGGCATGACTTCCTCATCAAAAAGACATTAAAGTGACAAGGGCAAAAGAAAAAGACGTTGCTTCTAATCATGGAGATCCTCCGCAGCAAATTGAGATTGAGAATATCTTAAATATTACGCATTGATTCAATACACATGAGCAAATGATACAATATAATAACTCATTCAACGAGTCGAAAGTTTTAAGCCCAAAAGTATTAAATTCCCCCTTCTTCACCACATCAAGGTTACACTTTCGTAACCATATTCAGTTTTAAAAGGTGACACAACTTTATATGTTAAACTCAGAATATTATGATGAGTTGGTTTGAGTCTTTTACACGAACCTAAAAATCACAAAACGGGGGAATTTGTATAGTGAGGTGAATAAGACAAACATCAAAATAACACCTGCGGATTGGTTAACTCTGACTAGTCTTAAATATGAAGGGCAAAATATGTCATTTCCTTATATCTCATAAGACATGGAGTACTACCAAGAAATGACATTGAACTCAATGTTAAGACCACAAGTCCAAGGTTGAAATGTCAGAAATTTAGGAAGTTTACAAATCAATGACAGACTTTTGCATTATGTCCTTATTCATATATTGACTTATAGATGACCAAATTTTGACACAGAGATATTTTTATGTTGTGGGCATTGAGAAGTAACATTCTGATTAATTGGTTGCATCATATTTGCAGAATATGGTGAAATGCATGCACCATAACATGCATCTTTCATACGTCATATTCATCATACTCATAATGGTACACTCTGACATGGATTTAACTTTGGACTCATTTTTCGTCTTGGGTTAGATTCATTACTTTAGTAAAAGAACATTGAACAAATTAAATGTTGTTTGTATCAACATCATGTGGCAGCATGGAAGGGTCAACCAGGAATATGAAAATGATGATGATGATGACTCTGCTATGCCTGAAGATGATGTAGTGGACTGTGAACAAGAAAACCTTGTCCACCATGAATCAGTTCAGCTGCATTCATTCCTCCATGACGGTCAAATGTTATTACAAATTTGAGAGATTTAGGACATAAAAGTAAGAATGTAGCGGATGGAAGATTATTTAACTAATTTAAACCTAAATGTTAGCACAGGTTTCGAAAGGTTTCATGATAGAAATAACTATTTAGAGGAGTTATTTGACTATTTTCAAGACTCCTTTTAATAGAATTGATGTCATAATTTAGTTACTTTTACGTCCATATTCATTGTTATGTATGACTATGACATTTTGACATTATATTTTGAATATTTTCTTCTATTGATTTTATATTTTTTTTACGTATTTTTTTGCTATAATTTTACAATTTATTATATAATTTATTTTATTAACTTTCATTCTTAATCATATACTTAAATTTAAATTAATTTTATAATTAATTAAAAGATTATTATTTTAAATTATAAATTTATTTGATTTTAAAAAATTAAGTCAATTTTTTTTTCAAATTATTTTCCAAGTCACATATTTGATTTTATAATAAATTCATATAATTAAATAATACTATATTTTAAATAATATATCATATCTAAATTTAAATATACATTATTTACTGAACTTATATTTTACTTTCAAATATTTATTTAAGTCATGGGCAAAATAGTAATTTATCCATTTTATCAATTATTTTAATTTTTAAACTGTCAAATCAATTACATTATTCACCATCGTTCATCTTATTTCTAATCAACTTTTCATTAATCTAAACAACCCTAACTTTCATTTTCACTCATTCAAATCCATCCTATAATCCCGACACATAAGCTAAAATGGACCTAGCAAAGAGTGTGTTTGGTATAACCTAAGACACAGTGGTGACAAAAAACAAAATCAGCCACACAATCAATTTTAGTTATCAAAATTATTTTGACATTAAGAAAAAAAATTATAAATATGAAATTCACATAACATCCATATTTAATTATTTATTATAACTTTTTTTTTATTGAGAATGTAATGAAAAATACTTAAATGTTATAACATTATTATCCTTCATAAGAGAAGAATGAAAAAGAAAGCAACAAGTGAGGCTATCCCTTTGATTGAGGATGGTAACATAGACAGATACAAACTTTTCCTTTATTCTGCACTCTCCATGTCCATAACATAAGCATCTTATCTTTTCTCCAAAGTGCCAAATTCCACTCCTTTGCCAAAGGGACCTCTCACATGCTCCTTCTATGTAATACATCTTCAATATTCACAAATCCCTCACCTTTCTCTCTATTCTCCATTCATACATATTTACTATACTCTAAATTATAATTTATTATTTAATTATATTTTTTATCTTTAATTAAAAGATTTTAATGTAAAATTATACAATTATTATTTTTATCTTTTAATTCTTAAATCAATTATTATTTTAAGTTATTTATATAAAATATAAAAGATAAAGATAAAGTTTTTTTTATAAATAAATGAGATGAGAATATATATCATCTATTCATCCAAAAGTTTTAATTATCTGAAATTTGTAATATCCATTTCCTTTGTGATAAAAAAAACTGAATACTTTTGACCCAAAAACAAGAATAAGAAATAGTTTAGATATTGACTCATATTAAGATTTCAATATAAAAATAATAGTCTAATAGACATTTAAATCTTACCACTTAACATGAAACAGGTGATGTGGAATTCCAACAATTTTTTAAATTAGTTTTTCAAAAATACCTTCGTCTCTTCTTCCTCTATCTCTCTAACAATCTTCTAGTCGGTAGGTTTGAACTAAAAGAATGCGAAACTACTATTAAGCTTATTCGGTCAACGAATTAGAATCCAGAAATTATATTTTTTAGTCTCTAAGAGCTCCTTAGCTAACAACTAAATAATTTAAATTTGTCATTCTTACCTATTAATTACTTTATTAGCACCCATATGTGAATGACCATACCTTTGCAAAGTTTGATGGTGAAAAGAATCAGGCGCATTTTGAAGAGGGTCAACTATGAAGATAAAAATGGTAAACATGATAGGATTATATTATATCCTCTTATTTCCTTAATATTGGTTGTCATCACATCCTTTCCTTGTAATTTTCTGAATCTCCTTCAACCGTATTTAACATATAAAAAATGTCCAAATAATGAAAATTTATACTTGAAAGTTTCAAAAAAGAGAAGAACTAACTTTTACAGAGCCTAAAATCATGGTTCCTTTGCAAGGTTTATTTGTTTGGTACTTTTTTACCTTTGGAAACGGCAGTCACACCAGAATTATAAACATTCATAAGCGAGAAGGAAAGGGGTGAGACTGATTTTTTGGTATGGTCATGTGTCCTGTACACCTACACATGAAGCAAGAGTTTCATATGTTGTGTATGCATAAAAAGGCAAAACGAGAAAAAAAAAAAACCCTTTATGTGCAAGCCTAAAAATCAATTTACTACAACATGATGTCATAACGTGACTACAACCAAAGAACCTAAACAACAAACCTTTCCTTTTTAATTAAAAAGCAAACCTTTCAATTTTAATTACAATGAACCTGGTGTACAATAAGAACCAGGACACCTGAAAGATTCATGTGAACTTGGGTTTAGGCACAGGGCCACTATTTTGATGCACAGGACCAAGCTTTTGAATCCAATGAAGAAGCCCTTTTTTATTATCCCAATAAGGGTTTGGCACCAGAGTAAGGGTTCCATCACGGGCAAGTGAAGATTGAAATTGCTCTAATATCTTCACAATCTGCCAGAACTCAGGCCTCTTATCTGGTTGCAAGCTCCAACATTGTTCAATTAAAGCTCGCATAGCAGGTGGACAGTCTGATGGAATAACTGGTCTTGAATTCTGAAAAAACACAATACCACAAAACAGAAATATAAGCACAATATGTGAAAACTGTATCATTTGAGTTTTTATATATACTAGAGAAAATAAACAAAATTGGCTGCCCAACTACACTTTTCTCTGGACTCATGTAAATCAAATAACAAAAAGAAATTGCACAGATAAATGCAAATTTGTTGATCTATGAAATAAATCAGTTCTATTCTTAGTAATACACTAGCTATTATGTTATATCATTCAAGGAGTTATTGGCAAATGTAATAATTTAATATATGATTTAATGATTGTTAAGAAACCGTTTGCTTAAACTTATCCTTCAATTGGATTTCCTTTAGGACGAAGTGGACACAAAAGTCATGGATGAAATGAATTTGCACCATTCCACAGTTGCTTTCTAAGCAAAGGAGGCATTGACCAAAGGTTGTCGGCTGTTAAAACTCTTGGTTTTGCTATAAATGGCAGAGAACATAATAGGATTGGAATAAGCTTGTGTAAATTTGATCAACAGGCAGTAGAGCTTGACTTCTTCAGATGTAAACAGCAAGAGGAATCATTAACAGAACATATCTTGTCTAGCTGCATTACTCTTCCATGCTAGCCGTTCAAAAACGTCAAACATACTCAAATTCTATTATAGACAAGAAGAAACCATAGAGGACAACAAAGTGGGTTTAGAGTGGGAGAAGGGCTTTGGACCTTCAGCAAGCATTTGGGACATGCAAAGGCAGTGTGCACAAAGAACAAGCATTCAAGGTCAGGAATGAAGATAATACAGGACATTTACCAAAAAGGATTGGCTATGGATAATGAAGTGATAAATGAAGAGTGTGATGTTCATTATAAACCTAGATGACTTTGATTACAAAGGACTCATACCTTGTTTACAACGGCAAAAGCAGCCTGTATTGGATTCATATCCTCATATGGTATTGTTCCAGTCAACATCTCCCACAACATAAGCCCAAAACTGTAGACATCAACCTTTCTCCCATAGGATTTCCGTTTGATCACCTCGGGTGCCATCCAACGGTAGGTGCCGGGGTCATCAGCCAATATGTCACAAGATGCTTCCTCGCATGCAATGCCAAAATCAGCAATTTTAAGGCGACCGGTTGTGCTGATAAGGACATTCTCTGGTTTAAGGTCTCGATGAATGACACCTTGAGAATGTATATATTCCATTCCGCGAGCAATGTCCAGGGCAAAAGTTAATAACTCTTGTAGAGAAATAGTTTGGTGCTGCAACTTATGCAAATATGCCCTCAAGGAACCTTTCAATAGATATTCTGTGATAATACAATAAACAGGTGGCCTTCTGCATGCTGCTGAGAACTGTAATCAGATCAAAACACGCAAGGAAATAAGTACAAGTTAGCATCCTCATGAATTATCTCAACATCATATGATCTACACAATTAGACTAAGATAAATGAGAAACGATGAATATAAAGTAGTATGCATACTTTTAAAACATAATATTTCAACATGATTAAAGGTTCAAATTTAATACAATGCTTAGAGCAAAACAACAGATACGCTAACCTTGCTCAAAAGGCATAAAAGACAGCCATAGGACTAGCACATATATTTTGTAAACAGCATATACAAAAGAAGACCAAATGTCATCATCACCTTTATAACATTTTGATGGTGAAGACGAGATAAAAGAGTAACTTCCCTAACGAACTGTTTCTCTAACCGAGAAGCCAAATCTCCACTTTCATCATCTTCAGGTGGCATAATGATTTTAATAGCAACAGACTCATCATTATATAAACCATGGTAAAGTCGGCTATAAGCCCCATGAGCAAACTTTACGCCAAAAAACAGCTGAGACATGTCAATATTCCACTCTTCAGCTGTTTCCACAGCAGTAATATTGCTTCCAACAATATCCAAAAACTTAGTCCATGCTGTATCCTTGCTGCTCTTTGACTTCATCTGCCTATTTGGACAAAGGGAAGGCAACTTTGAACTCGATTCCCTAGTCTCCAGAGAATTCTTGTTCAGCACCTTCCCCCCAATCCTCATATCTCTCTGGGGATTAGGTGTGGAGAACCTCTTCTGATCATGTCTAGCTTCCCTGAAGGCCTCAGAAAGAAAAGTCTCAGGTAATGGTGACAAAGATCTCTGCTTGTTTGTTATGGGGTGCCTTTGAACCTGTGAGGCAGGCCTTGATTTTTGCTCTGACTGAATGCTGATAGGAACATGACCTAGTCTAAATGAATCCAAACGATGGCAAACTGTGTGTGAAAAGTTTGTCCTCCTAATCCAAGAATTACAGTGTTCCCCCATCTTATTCTCAACTTTTCCCTTCTACAAAAACTTGATTATTAAGATCTTGTACTTACAAAACTGAAACTCCCCCACCACTACCTAAGAAATCTCAAAACCAGATTGATTGAGTGGAGGAATGACCAAAAATCCGATCTTTACATTTGAAAACAAAAAGGGTAGGATTGGTTCGATTCAAAGCTGCACATAGACGCAAAACAAAACACTATTCAACAAAGAACATGACCCTCCATAATCTCTCAACAGCCAAACACCCCCTTCTAGTCAAATCCCACCTTCCGTAAAAGCCTGAAAGATCCACACAAATCTCAATAAATTAATCCATCCAACAAAAAAAATAAAATGATCACAGAAGCCATAAAGTAAACAAAAATAAAAGAAAATAACTCATTCATACAGATAATGAAGAAGCACCCGTGTTTGTGTCCCTAATGGCCACAAGGTGGAAAAATCCATAAAAGAATCACAAAATATAATAAACTAAGAGCAAATAAGGGTAATCCAGATTTAAAAAGAGAAACAAAAGGTAAAGCAAAAGATCCATGAAGAATAGTAATAAAGCATGCATTACCTGAGGGTAACAAGGCTTTCACAGAGGTGGAGATATGATTTAGCTGCTAAGGCAGAGAGGGTGCTTCTGTTTGCCTTTTAAGTTTGAAAGAATAGATAAATGGTGCACCTAATACCATCTTTTTCCGTAAAGAAAGAGAAAGACACGTGGAGAATGCAGAGGATATCTTTCTTTCTCTCTTTCCATTTTTAATTAATTTTTAATTTTAGAAATTGGCAGTGTAATATTTAGTAGGGTCATACAAGGATATTGTTTTACGCTCATGTACGATACCCGGAGGAAATAGACCATAAACTTCATTTCAAGGTTGTAGTTTTGTGTCTGTCGGTTTTAGAATTTGAAACCTCTCTCATCGTCATCACCGTTCATGTACATGTGGTGCTTGTCTCTTTCTAATTCAACTCATGGCTCTTAATAATAACAATAACTATTCATTTTTTTTATAGTTATATTATTTTGCTAGATGTTATTTTTACACATTATTTATTAATTTTTGTTAAAATCTCATTTTATCATTTTTAAAACAATTCTTTTTAATCATATTTTTCCATAAATTTTGAGTTTGAAATCTTATTTAAATACTAATGTGACTAGCTCATATTAATCATGTTATTTTATTTAATGATTTTTTTTAAATTTTCTTTTTATCATTTTTTATATAAAAAAATTTATCAAGGATTTTTTAAAACAGAGTGATTTTTTTTAATATAAATTTAACACACTATATAGAATGGTTACACACACAAAAAAAAAACTGAATCTTTTTTATATTCGTTAAAAGTGGGTGTGGAACAGGTGCGGTCTGAAAATATGAATAGTAAAGCATGTGCATAGGGACATAGTGATGATGGTAGGTTATAGTGGGGTGGTGGAATGTGGGGACCATAGGAGAAAGTCAGAGAAGATGGAGAGGGACATGATTTTGTTTGTTTTGGTTTGGTTTTGGAATGAATGAATGAATGATGATGGAGAAGAGAGAGAAAAGAAAAAAAAGGTTGAAACGGGGTCAGTGTAGGAATCCAAGTGTCACTATTCAAGGAATTGTACGGATTGGATTGGAGAGGTTACGTGTAAAGCTTTGTTTTTTATTTATAGTAACAGTGAGTGCGCAGTTATTGCAAAATTCACACTCCCATGACACATGAAATGAAAAGCAGAGGTTTTAAGGTACGGTTCGCACGGATGCCTCAGACAGCACATGCATCATGCATCATTTTTCCAACCAAAATATCAAACTAATTAATTTTTTGTTACATTTCAATTTAGGAAAAACAATTTGACAAGTTCAACTCATGTTAATTCGATGCATCCACGGTTCGTACGATGGAACAACTAGATTCACGTGTTACCAACAAAAATTGACAATTTATGTGCTTTTAAAATTTTCATTGAGAAAAATATAAATAAAATTGCATAGAAAGTTAATGAGAGTAATGCAATTTTAAATGTCAACTATAAATGTATTTGTTAAAACGATTATATATATATATTAGAATAATTTCGTACGATATGAATTCTTTTAGTTATAATGTTTAAAACAAATAATGTTTTTCCATTAATAAAAAATGCCTCTTTTCACTTTCTTTTGTTCATAATATTTTTTTCTATATTTATTTTTTTAACCAATGGATAAAAATACCTTGTATTACAGTATTTAATATAGAGATTGAATATTTTTTATTTTAATAAGAAATTTCAGTAAATTTAAAATTATATACTATATATAATGACTTAGATGTCAATTTATAGATTATTATGCTAATTTTTCACAATATTTTTATTATAGTAATTTGATATTGTATGATTGATCATAGTTGAGTGCGTGATAATTTATAATGTATTTTGTAACCAGTTAATAGCCATTTATTTTAGTTTTAGGTTTCAAAGACCACATTTTACGTAAGATATTGTGATTGTGATTGAGATTGATATTATAGTTAATAAATGTGGTCAATTTATTACATCATCTCTCTTATAAAATAAGATTTATTTTTTGACCGATTAAAACAATAAGACTATATAACCCTTTAATCCTACAGAAAAAAGAAAAATTAATGGGATCAGATAAGTACTTAAACTGATAATCAAAATAATAACATTGCACAATTTCTTAGTCTTAAGATAATAATGAGAAAACTAATAAAATGAGATTGGATGGTGCAAATTGAAAAATAATGGAATTCCGTACTTGGGCCTGCCTTACCAAAACCCACGTAAATGAAGAGAAAACAAGTTAGGCTACGTTTTAAGAAATGCCCAAACCTTGGACTACACATAACAGGCCTTTTCTTTCTGGCCCGTCAACATTTAATCCTCCGTCTCATAAAGTACGAAATGATTAGAATTGTTCTAAAGAGTTTTTCAAACACAAAATATATTCTATTCAGAAGTTTATTATTTTTCTGGGAAAATAATTTCATATTCTTATTAAAAGTCCACTATAAAACACACTAATTGTTAAAATATCGTTATCCTATTATCACTAATGTGTTAATTTACCTGTCTGCTACATATGCTATAACACTTTTCAAATTCGGAACAATAGGGTGTTCCAAAATAACTCTGGATATGCAACCAAGTTCGTTTCGATTAAGTTAGTGTTAATCAGAAAATAAAAGGATGGATTTAAGCATATATTTATTATGTTTGTTTTGATTAAATTAATTTGTGACGACATGTTGAGAAAAATATGTGGAATTCACATTTGTCAAATCATCCATAAAATTGAAATGGTTAATGAGAAACATTAAAATTATTTTATTACTATTAGAAGTCACTTGTAATTGATTAACAAAAAAATTATATTAAATTAAGTAGAGATGCGTAACAATTTTATATATATGTCTTTTACTTTGAAAAAATTATTTCTCTTTAATCGTTGTTTCACTTATCTTATATAAAAATAATATTACGTAAAAAATTATTAAAAATATATAATACTAAAACATTAATTTTAAATGCATAATTATTATATATAATTATTATGATTAAAACATCAATTAATAATTGGATAAGGTATATGAAAGCAATATTTAATTATATGATTTTTATTTTTAAAGCGTATAATTAACAAAGTTTTTAATATGTATATTATTTTATTAAAATTTAAAATAATGTTAAAACATATAAATTTATATTGTATTTTTTTTAATATTTGTTTCAATTTAATAATATTTATAAATTGTTATAAAAATATATTATAAAATATAAATGTTTAAATTTATAAAAATAAATTTATAGTTATATTAATTTATATCAAAAATATTTTAATCATTTATTTATTATTTAATTTTTTTAATCAATTACATCAACCTTATAATTACTATCTTTCCATTCATTTCTTTTCACTTTTTACATCTTTATGCTTCTCTTTCTCTTGTTTGCTACTCCCTGTGAATTCATACATAGACTTTTAAGAGACTCTGGTTATTTTACAATCTTTCCCTTTCTATACATACATAATGTTTTTGTACAAGTCAAAATTATTTTTTTATAATCTAATTTATGAAATTTATATAATTTTTTATTTTTCATTTTTTACTAATACATAAAGTGATTTTAATTTATAATTGTTTTATTTTATTTTACATAAAAACTTAGGAATAAAGTTGTCCAATGAATTTCACTCAACTATTTATAGGAGAAATCAGAATTGCAAAACGATAGCCTATGTTATTACATTAATTTATTTATACATCTTTGGATCCTCTTATGTTGCAACTTGAGAAAGATAAAGAGAAAAAAAAAAAATAGTAGAGTTAGTTGTAACTGTAGGTATATTTTTCTAGATTTAGCTTCTCTAAAAGTGAGACAACACATTATTAACTCACTCTTTCTTAAAGTTAACGTTAGGTTTCATTTAATTATAAAGTGAAACTGTTGGCTATGCTTATCAAGTCTGAAAGGGATTAATTGCTACAGCAAACTATAATAATATCTCTTTGTCTTTATGCAATCATTTGAGATACTCTACTTATTTTACATCACTTTGTACATACCCCAATTGGTATTTTTGACACTTTCTGATGGAAAAAGTTTGACAATTTAAATGTGCAAAACGTGGAAGAAAAATTATGCGAGACAAAATTGTTTTTGTTGAGGAGTGGTGTGCATGATAAATGAACTTCAAGAGTAGCCATGAAATGCACACTCATTTCCACAATTTATCTTGATGTACATGTGTATGGAACATTTACCAATCACTCATTTTATATTCACCAAGTAAAGGGTGGGAGAATTAATACCCAAATTAAACAAAAAAGAAGGAACAAATTAAACTAGGCTTCTCTCTCTCTTACAAATTACACAACCTCAACAGCAGTGCAATGCAGCTTCTCTAGCAGATCAACAGTCAACATGGATGCCTTTTGCCTTGGCTTTGGCATTGGTATCCTCTCAGAATATCCCATTGAGACTGAGGTTGTGCAAGTGTTCCTGTCACATGGACCTAACCACTTGGCTTGCATATACCTATGTTTCCTCCATGGCCCCATGTGCATTTTCTTTTCCTTCATGCACCTTTTCCCTGCCATACACAATATCTTTATTAGGTTGCTCAATCTCTCCACCTTCCCCACAAACACCTCTGGCAGCTTCCGAACAAGTCCGTTGTACTCCTCACTTCCCCTTGCCATCTCAAACTCTCCTCTGAAATTCAGCTCCACAATCACTCTCATCTCCCCCTTCTTTGTGTTCTCTATCACATCCAAAAAACTGTGTTCCCCTGCACATAGTTTTCATACTAAGATTAATAAATTTATACTATTAAATTCTATACAGCTACCACCCAACGTATGAATTGGCTATAAAAAAGTTTCAATCTTTTCATAATTATATTTTATGATCAACTTGACAGAGCTAGGTGGAATCTCGTGAATACTTACTGTCCTTAGCCAAGTGCTGACTAATCATAGTTTAGACACGATAATATTTTACACAGTGTAGTTATAATTTGATAGGGACATTTCCAAGGTGGGATAATGTTGTTTAGTAAAAGGATCTTATCCTAAGAACCACCCCCGAAGGGTTTACAAAACATGCAAGTGGAATTACTGTATTTACCTGATGGAATATCTGGTGAGCTTCTCCATTTCGTTTTGCAGACAGCACTGTTATAACCTGCTTTCTGAAGCCGCCCGGAAACTTCTCTCATTAAGCAGTTTCTGCAAGTGGTGAGAGGTATCTGTCTGCTGCAACCGCACACGGTTTCTGCGCTTTCTATGTTCTGAAGCGCTTCTTTGGTGGCACGCCTTATACCTGACTCCAAAGAACTCGTTCTGTACACATTGGCCTGCACAAAATAAATCCCCACTTTATCCAACCACGAAAACAAACATTTTTTAATCATGATATTAATTCGAATTATCAATCCGTAGTTTCTTTCAACAGTGTCACTCATGTTGTTATTTGGTATGGTTTACATGCTACTCCATCATATATTAATTGATTTAATTTTATGTTAGACCCTCAAGAATTATTATTTTATTTGAGTTAAAATTACCCTTTTTCTAATCCAACAGAGCAGACTTTATTGAGAGCATGTTAAAAGTCACACATATTTATCTCATATTATTTAATATGATTAAATATATATTAGCCTATCCACATATATTATTAATTGATTAGATGGGGACCGGCATCTCAAAACAAACATAAAAATGCAGACAGGAAAAGCTAATAGTTTTTTTCCCCTTGTTTTAAAGTATTTTCTGTAAAACCAAATTAATTATATTAATAATTGACCACAACTTAGTGACATGAGATCAAGAGAGGCCACATTAGGAAAATAAATCGAAACTTGACAAAGACGTTTAAAATGATAAGGTAGTAAAGTTTTCTAAAATCACTACGAAACTAAAACAAAAAAGCTTTTTGAAAGAAAAAAAATTCAATTAAAATAAAACAGAATGAAGTTGGGTATAAATTCCCCTCTCTGTATGGTAACAAACTAAGTTAATTTAAAGAATGTAAAACTGGGTTGATTAACCAATTAACCTACCTGCAAAATCTTGTGTTGGTTGTCCCAGAAGGTTCTATTCTCTTCGAGGGTGTCTCGGTGATCCTCGTCTTCGTCGAACTCGATTTCGTTGGGGTGATGACAGTCGTTGCTGCAGGCGCTGTGAGCCAACAGCGTTTCTCCGTCGTGGAGAAACTCGAACTCAACGTCGGCAACACACATCTCAGGTTGGTCATGGCGGTGGCGGCTGGCGAGAAACCTGGTGACTCTTGCGGCGGCCACGGAGGATCCACCCATGATATGAAACTTTGAGTTTGTGGGGCGTAGTGTGTGTATATTATTTGGCTTACATTTGGATGATGTTGGGAGAGGGATTTTATACGAGAATTGGTGTTGGGGGTGGGACCCAGTTGGCCTCTGCGCGCGGCGCACATGAATGTGATTAGGGTGGATTGTGGATGGTGAGCATTGGATGATTAAGATCTGACGGATGACGTAGGTGCGTTGTGTTGGGGTCATACAGCATGGATCCACGTCAGTTCACTCCAATAATTTCATTTTTCTAACCTACCCTTTATCCCAATAACCGGATATACACGAATATTCATTTCTTCATCACTATTGTTGTGCCCTACGCCATCTTATTTTCTAACAACTCAAGTTTTGGATATCCTTCCATATTAGTCACTTCTTCTATTCTATCCTACTAAACTTCATTTATTATTCTATTACTATTACTTAAATAAAGTTTATTTTATCAACATGCTCCTAATCACAGATATTTAAACGTACATCATATTATAATAAATTAATTTTATCAAAGGTTAAGATATACTATACTTTTTTAATTAAATATATGTGTTTGCACATTTTAATCCCAATACATATTGACCGTTTAATGATTATTATACAATATTAATATTTAAAAAATTACTTCATGGATGAATCAAAATCATCAGATAGGTGATTTCAAATATTATTCTTGCAAAATCAACAAATTTATTTTATGATAGTTTGTTATTAAATAATAATTTATTTAGATTGTAAAGATAATAACAAATTTTATTTACTTATATTATACTCAATTAAGAATAAAAGTTCTCAAGACCTTTTTTTATCACAACAAGCAACAGTACATTATATCTTTCTTTTCGCCATGTTACTCATATTATATATATATATATATATATATATATATATATATATATATATATATATCTTTTTTTTTCTTTTTTTTAATTACATTCAAAATCACACACTTCAAGAGACGTGAAAAGCACAGCATTTTTTTTTAAACAATACTCAATCATGTAAATTATATATATTTTTTAAATTAATGTTTTTAAAAAACTTAAATTAACTGTTAACAAATATATTCATGAGTGAATTATTTTAAAAGTCTTGATTATCTTATGACAAGTAGTGGGTAGGTTTTCTATTTTAAATATTTAATTGAGATAAAATGATTTTATCAGATGAAAAGTATATCTTTTAATAAAAATGATAAATTAAATTGAAAACAAAGTGATAATAAGTTATATATTTATTTAAATATTAAGACGAGTGATAAACATTTTAAATATTTTCTAGTACTAAAATTCAAATTAATCATATTTAACAAGAGTACGTTTAATAATTTTATTAAACATCAGATTTAGATTAAAAGCAAAGGAAAAACAAATTTGAAAAAATAAAATAAAGGGAAGGGTGTACACGGGGAATGCATTTTTAAAAACTAACTCGTAGGTAATAAATGATTTCAATTCTTGTTAAGTAGTTGGTTTATTATTAATTTTTTGAATATTTTATCCTTCAAATTTGCATTACAACTATTTTCTTTTATATTTAAGATTTTATAATATAACTATTAGGATGAATACATTGTTAAAACTATATAATTACTAGTACAAACATATCATATAAATATACCTTTAATTTAAGTTCATATTAATAGAAATCTTTGAAATTATTTTTATTTTGAAACTATAAATAAAAGCAATTTTTAAAATAGAATTATGTTAAATAAAAAGTAATAACATTTATAAGTAAAGTGATCCCAACATTATTTGATGACACGTGTCATGCATCCATTAAAGAAGCGAAAAGGTGAATTTGAGAAATAAGAAAAGTGGAGGAGAGGATGTTACTGTTGCTGTAGGTGTATACTTCCCATCTCAACCCAATGTTTGAATGGATGGGGACCGATGAAAGGATATGGGTGCAACGTTGTAGAATCAGGAACGTCCATTTTGGATCTTATCCGATGGAACTGCCGGTGGGGACCACAGCAGAGAGGGGTTACTGTCCGATAAAGCAGATCAAATACGCGGCGTCTTGTGAATGGTATTGGGTTTTTTCTGGACACACTACAAACAAAAGATTTCCCTGGTTTCATCATAGTTAATAATTAGTAATAGTACCTAATTATGCGACATTCCAGACCCAGCCAAGGGTTCGGTGGGACAACCCCAAGGGTTTTTTTGTAATTTTTCACCCAGCTCACGATTATTCTTAAGTCCCACCCCTGAGTTGTGCAACAGTTAAAGTACACTGGATAGATATACCACCTACAGACACCCACGTATCAGAAAAAGTAAATATAATAATAAATAAATAACGTGACCAAAAAAGTTATTTAAATATCATATATTCACCATACAAAAGCTTATATTTAACCTGTCCTTTTTAACACACACACACACACACATATATATATATATATATATATATATATATATATATATTATTCATAATATAAATTATAACAATAAAAAGTATTATTATTGTAGAATGCTAAAAAATATGTTATATGTATTTATCTGAACTAATGACAAGACTTGCCTTCATGATGTATCGAGGAACAGAAACCCTCTTTTGTTGGCTAGTTATCTTGTTTTTCTTTTTAAAAAGTCTTTTGATATTTTTCTTAACATTTTATCTCTTCCATTTTTTTTAATAATTTTAATCCTTATTTTAAAAAATTAAACTATAATGATTAAAAATATCATTTTAAGAGCATACACATTATTTATCATAAATCTAAAATGTAATTTACATGTTGAAAACATTTATTCCAACGTAATGCCTATATCAGACAACAAAATAATATTTGTTTAATTAATAAGTGATTTTTAATATAGAAAAATAAAAAATGATTAATAAATCATAAATAAGCTCGAATCAAATTAAATCTATTCGAACAAACTCACCGTGATTCTAATAAAAAAAATCGAGTTTGATTAGATGAAAATTCTAAACCATTTTTCTTTACCAACCCAATTAAACCTGCTCGTGATTGAATTATAATAGACTGCGTCGATCAAATCACATATTTTAAAAAAATATTTGTTAAAAAATTATAATTTTAAACTATCTTTTTAGATTTATTTAACATATTCTAAAATGTATTATATTATTTAACGTTTAAATAATAGAGTAATATAATATTTTAAAAAATATACGTGTAATTAATATAATAATTAACACTAAAAAAACATAAAAAAATATGTAGGTAAATATATTTGTTTGAACAAAATATTTTTTTGTGAAGAATTAAACATAATACCTTAAAATATTCTATCTATCCGTTTATAAATATATAATATATTTATATATTTACATAAATATACATTTATTTATAAAAAAATATAATTTATTTATAAGTTATTATTAAAAAATTTAGTAATTTAATAATTAGAGTATTAGTTTTCAATTTTAAGATATTAGATTCGTTCGTTATAATTTTTTTAATCTGATATAATTTATTTATAGATAGTAATTACTTATAGAATTATTTATTGACATTATATATGAGTAATATTGGTAAATAATGAATAATTTATCTATATATTTTTAATCTGTAGATAATATTTTGTAGATAATAATTTTTTTTAGTGTAAATAAAAATGATATCATTTCTTTTATTCTGATCTTATTATTAAATCAGTAAAAAATTGGATTAGATTGATTATAAAAAAAATAACTTAATTTATTTAAAATAGATCACACTCATTTCTTCTCTCCCGTAATCATGGATTAAATATGATAAAAAAACCAACAAAATTGACTAGGACTAACGCGTGTTGTCTGATACAATATTATTTGTTCACATCATTTGTTGTCTATATCTCTCAATATACCAAATTTATATATACTAAGGTCAATAAAAAGAGAACCTAGTTAATACAGAAAAAACAAAATACAAATTTGTTATTCATGTACTCTTTTGTAAGCTTCTGTTCCTTTGAGTGATTGTGCCATCTTGTTTTTCATCTCCAATGCTAATAATTGCTTTATAAAATTTGCCCCACATCTTCAATGCCAATAATTCAAAATAATTACCCACTTCCTGTCTAAGAAAATATTGATAAATTTCTGCATGCCAAAAAATAAATAAATACAGCTAGTAAAATGACAAGTTAATCAACTAAAATCCATGAAAAAAAAAAACTAATTCCACGTCATACAAAACATTAAAAATATTATCATGTGAGTAACAACAGGTTCTAAGAAACACGTCAACTTGTCCCAATACATGACAATTGATAGAATTTGTTTAGAATTAATATGTTTGTCCCCAAAAGTGGTCCCAGCAATGGAAATAACAGGGAACAGGAAACAAAACAAAAGTAGTTGTGAATGAACTCCTTGTAAAAATAACATAATTTAAAAAAAAAAAAACAGAGAATTTATAACAATGTAAGTAATGTTATTACCTTCACAATCGGGAGAAGTTTTCATTCTGTCTATGGAATTGGGAATAATTATCTTAAAACATCTAATTTAGTTATATTTATAGATCTTAATAAATATGGTGTGGTCCAAGTGTAATTTGTTATTTTTGAAATATTTAGAAACATAATTTGTGGATGATATTTGACACGTAGTGTCAGAATCGGTGTTAGTAAAATCCAAGTGGAATTTAGCTGCATTATATAGAGACTAGTGAGACCATTATTGTCCTCTGCTTCTTTGAAGACAGAGAGAGATATGTAGGAAGATGCAACCTAACATAAATACGAGACACGCAACGACTACACCATTCAAATTGTTAGGTTCTGAGTTCGTTTCCAGAAAGCGAGTGACAGGGAGATATAACTGGTGCATTATTGGGTTATTCAAGTAAGAATATGATTTTTAACAATGTTTTAAATCAGACCGGTATTCATCAATTACTAATTAGAATTTCATAAAATAATGTTTTCATGATATATAATAATATAATAAAATTGTTATTAATAATATTTTTTTTATAAATATAATTGTTGTTACGGTATTTTAAATAGAGTCTAAGTTTCTTTCCAAGTTGAATACGGGGAGATATACGTAAAGGATTCTCGAATATTTTAATGAGTACGTGTATGAGAATAAATAGACTATGTATAAATTGAATAAAATAATATATATATATATATATATATATATATATATATATATTTATATAGATTATCGTAATTATTTGTGATAATAGTGATTTTTTATTTATTTATTAAATGAATACTTTATATAATTTCTGAGAATTCTAAAATAAATTGATATTCGAATATTTCTAATGTTTAGATATTGTCAAAATATTTAAATATTGTTAAAATATTTAGATATATCCAATATAAAGATTTATAGTTGAAGTGATTACAGTGTTTAGTTGTCTCAGATCAGTATAATAATAAATTATTATTATTTAAAATTAATGTAATCAGTGTATGATAAAAAATATAAAAAATATATTTAAGTTTTTAGAATTTTTAATTTTTTATTAAAATTATTTTGTCTGAAAGATTAGGTGATTTTTCTGATTTTATTATAATTTAATTAAATTTTGATTATTTAAAATAAGAAAAATCAATTTACCCTTTCTGATCGGGTTCCAAAATGTGATTTTTAACAAAGTCGATTCTTACAAAAAAGATGAGTCTTGAGATTACACATGTGTGTGCACATGTGGTTGGTTGTCATAGGAAGACAACATACCACCTCATCATCAATGCATTGGATAACTTTGATTGATTCACATGACAATATGGATAATTGTTATTTATGGTTTTGCAAATTTTTATTCTTAGCTTTTGAGGTTAAAATAATAGTTTATTGGATTATTTACAATGCCTGTTCAATTGCTAGTTAATATGAGTTCCTTTTTAAGTATTAATTCTGGTAACTTTTTTTAAGTCTAACTCGTCCAAACCTTTTCTTCTACTATAAAAATGATCTTGTGGATAATATGAATTTACTCCCAACATTGGATCATCCATGAATGGAGGTGATAAAAAAACATCTTATCTTTGATGTTTAAAAAATCTTTTTATTATTTCGTAGATACATGTTTTTAAGCTTTTCAATTAACATAAGAGTTTTATATTGATAAATTCTGATTAAAAAATAGTATAAAAATGTTTTTAAAATATATTTTCCAGATTCAACTTAGAACATTATTTATCTAGATGAGTCGCAACAGTAGTAGACACGAGACATTTTGATGAGTTCAATAATTCAAAAACATGTACATTTCAATAGCAATTTGGGTTGAGGTGTACCTGAACAAGACACGAGTCAACAAAATTAAGAATCAGAATAATGCCACCATGCTTGAATGATATCCAGAAAGATATATTGTGTAGGGTTTGATGTAACCCAAATATGACAAAGCACAACGTATTAGGTTCTAATATTGTTTGCTACATTCTTAAAATATATCAAAGTAAACCATAAAATGTAGTTTTTTTTTTTGTGGTTTTTAATAAATTAGATTAGGACCAAGGGATGATGATTGTTATAATTTGGGCTTCCGATGAGGTAAGCCTTGGAAGGACTTGCATAATAAAATAATCAATCAATAATGGTTTTTTATGATTAAAGCTTAGCCGCAAATTTATCATAAGAGGGAGTGATTAGATTAATTAACTCTTGTTAGTAACTAATTACTTGCATTTGAAGTTATCATATAATGATTCAAAGTGATAATAATATTGCTTTTGAGGATGTGGAACACAATAGATGTTTCAATAAAGATATTACTATTTATAGTTCAATTTCGGTTGAATTAAAAAAATAAAAAAATAAAAAATGAAATAAACCAAATAACTAATAATTTAAATTGTTTTTGTTTGTGTTTGAGATGTAGGTTATGCCAATTAAGTTTCATGTAAGTTAGATGAAAAGAAGGAAAATGAACTAAAAAACTTGGAAGTGCATAAACTTTGAAGAAACCCATTTATCCCAAAATCACATCTCAACCCAAATCAATTTTTTTTTTTATGATTTCTGTCAATTTTCTTCTGATTATTTTGATTTAATTTTCTAAATTAGTTGAATGAATCTTCATAGTATTGAAGGCAAGGCAACCTGGATTCTTGTTTATGCTATGATCAATTGATAAAATGATTATGTGATAATAAACTTTGAACACCCCCATTATGATTGGTGTGGATAAAATGATAGGCCTTCAACACTAAGCCCATGCTAGGTCTCATTTCTTATCAAAGCCATTTTTATATGATTTATGATTGATTTCATGATTTTTCCTTAACTACAAAGATGAAATTTTGGAAAACACTGTTTTGGTTCTTTCATATTTTGAGTGAGTGATAAATTTCCTGTGAAACATTTCTATTGAAATTTGGAGAAACAAATTTTCTTTCTACTGTTATGTTTGGATTTGTGGAATCACAACCTGACAACTTTTAGATTTGCATAGCATTTTGCTCGATTAACGAAGCTATTATTGATCATTATAATGGTCATTGTATTATATTGATTACATCGTAATGTCACATTCCAATTACGCTTGATAGTGTTGGACATAAACATGGCAATTATACCTGAACCCATTTATTCTATCATACAAAGTTAAGGGAAAGCCAAGTAAAAATATTTACAAAATAAAAGGATGTAACTGTGCTGTAGTATTTTATATGCCAATAATATTAATAATTCTGATGATGGTTCTAAACACATGGAGTTTAAATATGTAACCTTCAGAAATCTTGTGACAAATTGATAATAATGGCTAAACATATTTGCACAAACTCCATTCTAGATGAAAGACCATATTGAAGTGTTAGAACATTTCTGTTGTTACTCCACATTACCTTTAAAATTGAACAAAAGACTTAAACACTGCTCAAATTACATTGCAGATCTACAATTCAGGCTTTTAATTCTTCAGAATATGTTGTAAAAACCATCCAATCTTGTAATTAATATTATACATTAGCCTTGGCTGTTGTTGTACGGTCGAACATGAACATAAGGCCAATACAGAGTGTTATAGATTAAACCCTGGCCTTCTAAAAATGGTGACCTTTCTCAATCAAGTCCTAATGTTTCTCTCTCCTTTTGTTTTATTTATTTAATTTATGTTCTTTCCATAATATGGACCTAAGTTCTTTGCTAACAGAGTATGCATGCAATTAAGTTATTTAGCTTTTTCAGCATTCATCCTTAAATCCAAGGACTGTGCTTCGGTTTCCTAACATTCCTAAGGGCCTTCCAAACAACACTGTTGCACATGAATCCTGCCCCACAAGCTATTTGGCAAACCCGATCACCCCTTTTGATCCTTGAGTTCAACTCAAGGTAAGCCAGTTCATACCAAGTGCTGCTGCTTGATGTGTTGCCAAATCGCTCCAATGTCTTCCTTGAGGCTTCCATGTACTCCTCTGTGAGCTCCAAGTTCTTCTGAATCTCATCCAGTACTTTCTTGCTCGTTGCCAGAATGCACATGTGCTCGAATGCCAGCTTGTAATCCGGAATGTATGGCTTGGCTTTCTTTTTCTTGAAGATCAAGTTGGTGAAGAAGTGAAGCTGCTCTGAAACAGGTAGCACCAGTGGCCCTAGTGTGGTTATGTTGGCCTTTAGTGCATGGCCTCCAACCTCAATGACATCTTTGCTCACATAAAGCCCCTTCCTCCCTTCACTATCTTCCCTTTGATGTATGCTTTTGTAGCTTCTGTTATCCATCCCTTTGTGAGTTCGGACCAGCTACCACATGCATGTGTCATAGCTCAAAGCAATAAGATAAAGAGATCCTAAAATTGGTATCATAGAAAACTAAATTTATGATGTCATTAAGAAGTATAAAGGGACAGAATAGAAGTTAAATAAGACAAAACTTAGATTAGCTCTTGGAGTTAGTATACTATTATTACTTTCTTACTAAATAGATAGCCTGACTTTAGAAGAGATACCTGTTTGAGTTCATACTTGGCGCGCCATCTATCTAGGGGAAAATTTGAGAGCATGATGGCTGCAGCCCCCATTCTGAAGAAGCAATTGGGCAGCTGCATGTGAATGTCATTTCCACTGTACCATGTAGAGCTCACAGCTTCTGTGCTAACTACAAGTGCATAAGTTCTTGGATAGGCATCCAGAAGGTCTTTAGCAAGATCAATGGCTGTGATTCCAGCACCACAACCCATCCCACCAAGGTTGAAGCTGTGGATGTCATGCCTAAGCTTGAAATGGTTTACTACCATTGAGGACAGTGATGGGGTGGTGTTTAGTATTCCACAGTTTACTATCAGAATTTTGATGTCCTTTGGTTTTACTTTTGTGGCAGCAAGAAGGTCAGTAATTGCCCCAAACATCACCATGGATACCTCTTGTCTGCCATCGTTCAGTGAGTTTCTGTAACCAGGGCGAAAAACTCCTTTTGGTAGGTAGGTCTCGTCACCTATTCCAGATTTCTTAAGAACTCGTTCTTGAAACTCGATGGAAGTATCATTGAAATTCCCAGATTTTTTTGCTAGCTCAATGAACTCAGCCTTAGAGATCTGCATAAATTTCCCATCATTTAAATACATCCAAAGATTGAATGGATTGGAGTTTCAACTTCTTGAAAAAAGAAGATTTACATTAAAGATCAATATCGATTAAAAAGGTAAAACTACAACTTTGATGGGATAATAACAACAAAAAACACGTAAGTAAATGTATCTAAATTTTATCTTTGCCAAAAACTGTACAATGATGAGAGACTAATAATGGCATTAAAACTTAAAACTCATCCACAATCTTGGTATGTGAAGGGTGAATACTAGTTGAGGAGAGGTGTGCGTTTTTTTACCTTGTATTCATCTGAGGGGCGAAAGCATGAGAAATCAAGCAAATAGGTAGAGCCGGGTATCAAGTCAGTATAAAAATACAGCAGTAGGAACAAAAGTGCTGATATAAATAGAACCTCAATGAGGCCATATTTCTCATAGAGATCATGCCAAGTAAACTTTCCAACACGAGCAATAAAGGCTGCAAGCAGAGGTGGTGCCAGCAGTAAGTACAAGCGATGGCTAATGAGGCAGCCATAACCCAATTTCACATATTTTAGATTAACTGAACTAAGAAAATCTGGCAGCCTTGGCCGTACTCGCACAGAGAAAGAAAGGGAGCCAGAGTTCTCAACACTTCTCTGCTCAATCTCAGTGGAAAACTGCTCACTTTCTTTTGACATGGGGGAAGAATTATGTTAGTGTGTTGGTTGAAGAAAAAAGTGAATTTTGCAGGAGGGGCATGCTCAGATTGAAGTGAAGTGCAAAGTAAATAGAAAAAAAATTGAAACACAAAGAAGCTTGATGGAATATAAATATAGAGGAACAGTGTCCTCTCTTAGCACCCTTTAGTTGGAGAAACACAGGCTACTTGGCATGGTAAATGATGCTAAGGATTTTACGGAGAATGCAAACTGAATAAGTACATTGTGCATGATTGCGTTTGAGCAGCAGATTTACAGTACATTGAAATTGTATGCAAGAGGAGAATGTAAATTTCCATCCTCTTTTTTAATAATCAAAATTCCATAAATCAACTTGGCAGCAACTGAACCTGTTCTCCTCAGGAAACAAAAATTTGAGCAACATAAACCTATACAGCATCATATATAATAATGTTTCAACTCAAAATTTTCATTCATTTTCAATGACTTGGCGTATATGAAGGAAGAGGAAACAAACAATTGACTACTCTTTAAATGAACCTGTTTCATACTTACTAATGAATGCGTGAGACAATCAAAATAGAGCCAAACGGGATTCAGTTTTACGTTAATAACGTGTTCTTCTGTGAAGATAAAGATTTAAACAAACTAATACGGTTTTTTTCTGATAATAGACGTAATTTACTGCTAAAAAAAGCTCAGTCTAATAGTTCTAATCTAATCCTACCTTCAGAAATGTGAGAGAGATAACAAACAAAAGCATTGAAATTTTAAGAATAAGACCAATGACAAAAGACAAAAGACCCCCAAAATGCCATAGATTAAAAATAGTGCAGTATCTTCAATGTTGGAGAAGACAAGAAACTAGATGGCCAAAACAAAGTTTTTGTGAAAAAAAAAAAAGAGAGACCAAATTCATATGTATTTCATCTTCTGTTGGATGGAAACTACAATGTATATCTGCTAAAAGGCAACAGAATATTGCTAAATAATTATTATTCATTTATATATAACAAAAACGTTCTTAAGTGTATAAAAAATATATTATAGTTGTATTCTAATTAATGATTAATTTTAAATATGTGAATTATATTTTAGAATTATAACAAATATTTTAAATTTAAAAATAAAACTGTTTTTAAACTACACAGGTTAGCGATTAAGAAAATTATATGATTGAGAGACACATATATTTTGACTATTGATAGAGATAGTGGAAGAAAAATCTATCAAAATATTAAAAAAAAAATTGAGATAAAACTTTATCCTATTATAATATTTCATGCCAAATACACTGCACTTCAATCTATGTCTCTAATCTAAACAAATTACTCCTAAAGCGCCTTATAAAACACATTCCATGTGATCCTTTTCATTTTTTATTTTCTGCAGGTGGTAATGTTTTGAGTAGAACAAGATATTGATAAATAAAAAATTATCCTTTCAAAATGTTAATTTTAATTCCTACAAAAAATAATAAGTTTTTAATATTTATATTTTAATAGGAATATATGTTTTAATGCTCCTTATAATAGAGAGGAAAAAATGAAAATGAAAATTATTTTGATTAAAGAAAAATAAATAATAAAAAAATTATTACAATATTATTTTATGTTTTATTATGTATGTAATATTATTCATATTATTTTACTTCTCTATTATAAAAATGATAAAAAAATTGAAACACGAAGTGTTTTACAGCTAAATCTAACAATAGATTAAGGTGGAACCCTTTTTTTTTATTTCTTCATATTCTCTCTCTCTCTCTCTCTCTCTCTCTCTCTCTCTCTCTATATATATATATATATATATATATATATATATATATATATATATATATATATATACATTCTATAACTGCGTATACAAAAGTTATATTATAAATTCTTATTGCAACTAAATTATACATATAACTTTTTAACAATATAAAAAAATATTATAGATTTATTCATTATAATTATTAATTTTTGTAATATAATGATATATATAAATTTATATATCAAACCATTATATTTAAAAATAAAATTAATTTTATTAATATAATTTAAATATATACATACATAGTTTTTATTTAAAATTAATTTATTATTATTTAAAAAAATACTACAATGACTTATTAAGTCCAAATAAAATGGAACCAAAACTTAAAACATAACCTCTTTAAGAAAATTTTGGTATACCCATTCAGAATCACTTCAATCAAATGACTCAAAACCAAAGTTTTGACCTAAATAAGAGAGAGACATCAAAATTAATTAAAAAAAAAAAAGTTGCAATGATATCTTAAAATTGATTGATCAAGGTGCCCATGTACCGAAGGCAAGGGGAATGGTACTCTGAAATACAACCCAACCCTATTCCTAGAGCCTCCGTGCTTTGCCTTTTCCTCCGCCCTTTGTTTCTTTCTACTGTTTGAGCTTGATTCTTTTGCACCTGGACCACTACCTCCATCTAATTTACTCATTTTCAATCATTTATATGTAAAATTAGTGGCTAGTGTTATAATTAATTCAATAATTTGCATGTTCAAAGACACGTGATATTCCTGAACATTTTATTAGTAAGAGTACCATGAAATCATTTAAAAAAGTATCAAACGTTTCCCTAAAGCAAGAAAGTACCTTTTGGATAATGTACCGCATAAAATGAGAAGAAGAGTTGATATTTTCTGGTAGAGGACCACTGGGGTGGAAAATTTGGTCATTCAACTATAAAACCAATAGCGTGCTGCACCATTTATATACTTGATTCGGTGGAAACCAAGCTATAACATGAAACGTGGTTTTTGTGTCATCTCATAATTTAACTCTCGTGGTTTTGCTGTTGTGTTCTCATGAAACAGTGGGCCAGCCAGGCCTTGAAAGAAGCAATTTTTATGACGTGTTTCCTTTAAAAAGAAAAGATGAAAGAAGCAATTTTTTTATGGGTATATCTCTCAGAATTGATGCACCTGGGGACAGCCGGTAGGCACAATTCTATCCTGTACCACTAAACCATAGATATTGTGGATGGTAAAATTTAAAATTGTGGTCATGGTTATAATTTCATTGTGATTTTTTTTCACTCTAAAAGATTGCAAATGAATGTAAGTAACTACTTCAGAAATGTTGTGGTTATGGCAAGTCTAAGATCATGCGATGCCACTACATTCTTATGATTTGAGTTCTCAGCTTACAAGTGAAAATGTCAAGTTTCTTGGTGAGGTCAATATATATCTCTGCTTTAGGTGCAGACTCAACTGCTGCCAAAATTCCCACCTAACGCTAATTATATGATGGCAAAAATCAATCTTCTTATTTTGCTTCCTTACGCAACCAAAAAGAGAAAGGGTCTTATGATAGCTTTTGAGAAATTAACTGGCAGGTTCCTTCTATAACAATGTCATGAATGATAAAATCAGGATAGAGTTTGGTTTGGCCTAGAGTTTTGTCTGAGTATAAATAAACTTATATATAATGGATGTAATCAAGCATATCATATCACATCAAAACCCATAATGGTACATTCTGTACAGTAAACAAATAGAGAACTATTAAAATTGGAGTTTGTATAATTGTATGGTAAAAAAAATCCAACTCCTGTGGCAGAAAATGAATCCGATGTTTGATATATATAGCAATGTGCTTATGAACAAATCCTATGTTGTCATTCATGACACAGGTTCACCTACCCTCGACGACAGATTTGGACCAAGTAAGAGACATTGAGGAAGAGTGACGAATCTGTTGAAAAGTTGGGTGTGAGGCATAGCTAAAATATTGGGAATACTCAGACAGTATATCCCTTGATTTCAACTGTTGGAGCAAATAACTATCCATATTCTCAATTTCAGAATCATCAACCTCGTTCTTCCCCTCCAGAACATTCACCACTTGTCTCATTGTGGGCCTGGCCTTTGGTTCAGGGTAGGCACACAACAAACCCAAGTGCATTACCCTCTCCATTTCTTGCTCACTGAACCCTCCCTTAGCCCTTAGTCTTTCATCAAGTGCAAAAACAATTTGCCCTTGTTCCATTAGTTGCCAAACCCACTCCACCAAAGGTGGCTTACCCTCTTCTAGAGGTCTCCTTCCACAAAAGACCTCTAAAATCAAGATACCAAACATGTAGACATCTGTCTGAGTGGAAGCTCTTCCAGTCTTGAACACTTCAGGAGCCATGTACCCCACTGTTCCAACCAATTTTGTGGTGCTTGCAACTTGACCGTGGCTGTGCATTCTGGCTAACCCAAAATCCCCAAGCCTTCCATTCATATCTTTATCAAGTAAAACATTGCTGGCCTTGATGTCCCTATGCACAACCTTAGCTTCCCACCCCTCGTGCAAGTACAAAACTGCAAAAGCCACATCTTTCACAATCCTTATCCTATCTTCATAACTTAACATCTTGCTCTCATCACAATCAAACACCCTCTTGTCCAAGCTACCGTTTTCCATGTAGTCATAGACTAACAAGAAACTCCCAACATCTTTCTTGCACCAACCTCTCAACCCCACCAAATTCCTTTGTTTCAGTCTCCCAAGGCTTGAAACTTCGGCTAGAAATTCTCGCACGCCATCATTTTCATGAGAAATGCGCTTCACAGCAATAGTCACCCCTCCTCTTAAAACACCCCTGTAGACTTTCCCATTCCCACCAACCCCAATCACATTGTCCTCAGAAAACCCCTTTGTTGCTGCCTCAATTTCTTCATACACCATTCTGTGTGGCCAGTACTCCAACTCCCAATCTTCCATTTCCTGCCTCTTCCTTTCTCTCCTACGCTTCCTCTGAATCAAAATCAGTGCCAACAAAACCAAGACACAAATAACTAAGAAAACTCCAACACTAAACCCTGCAACAAACCCCTTGGACTTAAAAATTGAATCCTTTGGAAGAACAAAAGACGGTAACCCAGTAGTAATAAGTTCATCACTCAACGAAACATTCTCATTGCTGAAACTCCAACCTAAAATCTTGTGACTCTGAACTAATTGACCAGTGGCACTAGTAAACCCAACAAACATTTCATCCTCAAAAACCTGAGATAAATTGAGGGAAACATTCAGCAAAGGCCTACTAGGTCTTTTCATACCCACCGGTGCCATGGTAACATTCATCCAAGAATCTTCGTAGTCAATCCAAACTTGGTAATTCTCACCATTGTTAAGCGTCAATTCCTTAAAGGACTTGTCACCATCATCTTGCCAATACCCAGAATCATTGGAAACAAATGACTTGAGAGAGTTTATGTCAATCCCCACATGGTTGGCGTTGATGTCATCGAATTCTTGGTTCATGAACACATCGAACTCAACACCAAGCACGTGGTTGTTTGAGTCTCCGTTATTAGTGAGGTTAAACAGACCAAGGTTCTGTGCAGAACTTGTGCCTTGGATGCCCGTAACAGGTGTAAAGATGAAAACCAAGCCATGCCCTGGAAGAGTGTCTTCATAAGGTGCCATGGCAAAGATGAAAGAGGTGGAGAAAGGGTACACAAAAGAAGAGTTTGGTTTCTTGGTGGGAATTTTTTCTTTGTACAAGGCACGACCGATGGCGAAAGTTTGCTTATGGGTGAGTGTTAGAATTCGAGAATCAACGGTGGCGTTGCCAAAGAGCAACACTTCAGAGGAGTTGAAGCCGTTGAAGACGAAATCAATGGCCCATGTGGAGTTGAAAAAGAGGAAAACCAATAATAGAAGTGGTTGAAGACGGTGTGTGTGCTTCAGCTTGTATCTGATCATGTTTTTAGCAGGAAGAAACAAAGGTGTTTGTCATGAATGGAAAGAGAGAAGGATGATTAAGTAGAAAAGATGAAAGAGTTTAAACACTTAGACTGAAGCGGGTAAGAGAAAGAGAAAGAGATATGAAACAACACCTCGAGAATGTATGAAAGAAAACATGGGATTGGATGAACATTGGTGGCGTTGGAAATTTCTAGAGTCAACTATTTGAACTCACTGAATACGACATTTAATTGTTAATTAAAATTAATGTTACTGTTTATTTTGACAAATGACAGGAAAGAATTCTTACACTTCCAAAAATATATCATTATTCATGTTTTTCAAAACCTATGACTGAATCAGTGTTAAAACTGAAGAAGTAATCCGAATTTTCTTCTCTAGACAAAATCAAATGAAACACAAGCATATGGCTACCACATCTTCATGATAAAAATAAATAAAGAGACATCGATTCTTGAAAGTACTTAACTTTTAAATTAAAATTAATTTACTTTCAATTTAATGTTTTGTGGATTTTATAAATAAGAAATATCTGTATATAAAGAAAATAAGTTTGTTCAAAAGGTTTACAGTAGTATATTAATTAAAATAATAAAAAATACTTTAGTTTACTTTTATAAACTCATTTACTCGACTACTTGAATATGAAAGTAAGTAGGAGGTCAAATTCTACAAGCAGAAAAATATAAAAACTTTTAGAACGAAAACGAATCTATACATCTTTTCTAAAATATAAATTGCCAAACCTCCAAAACTCCGAATGTCAAAGCAACATGTGAACATTTTTTTTTTTAATGACAGACAATAATCAATAATTTATATACATTAATTTTTTTTTAATTTATCTGTATGTCTTTTAATAAAACTAATTGTGTAAACACATCTTGATGGCAAGAACAACAAAATATTTTAAAGTTAGAAAATCAAAATCCGTCAAAAATGTTGTAGCATGACGTATATTTCGTGAATGGAAATGGTGCTGCCACAGTCAACGTGCTATGACAACTAATTATATTAATATAATATAATAATATTTACTATTATATTAATATAATTGAATGTTGATTGAATATTAGGATCTCAAACTATAAGCAGGTCGGCAAAAATAATAACATGAACTGAAATTGTCAATTAATTATATATATTATGTCAATCGTAAATGATATATTTCCAAAATTATATAAATTATATTTTTGTAATTAGTCGAAAATATTAAAATTTTAAATCATCCTCAAATGCGGAAAAAAAGAATAAAAATTCTGTATACATGTAAAATTAAAATATTTGTACGGAATGAGTGCCCAGTGGTGTTTGTTCTGTCCTATTCTTACACCAACAAATGCATGTCTCTGTCACTTTCTCAACCGTGTGAACCTATACTACTTTATAAAAAGTTTGATAGTTTTTTTTATTATATATATATATATATATATATATATATATATATATATATATATATATATATATATATGGAGTAATACTCTTACAAAATAGTTTTTTTTTTTTTTATAGGTATTAGAATAGTTGGATGTTACTCCCAAAATGTATTTTTAGGTTTAATTTTATTATATATGGACTCAACGCATCATTTTAATCTATTTTAAGAAATCAAAACATAGACATAAAATATATATTTTAATAAATACAAATATTTTAAAATTTAATTTATAATCATTAAATTAATCTGACAAAAATTGCGAGTGAGTTCAATTTAAATCTATATAAATAGCATTTTAATTAAGTTGGACCAAAAATAACTTCATTTATTTTATAAATATTTTAAAATATTTATAAATTAAACTTATTTCGACAATTCTAATATTATCATAAAAATAAATAAGAGTGAAATGACCCCTTCAATTAATATTATACTTGTTATTACGAAATGAATGATTTACTGATTTATTTACAAGAGTTTTAACTACTCTAAATATTTATAATTGGACTCAATTACTATAATGTATTTTTTAGCTCCTCAATCAAGTTGGTAAATTTATTATTAGTAAAGATATTATTAATATAATTTATGCGATAACAAGTTCTGGTAGGAATAATATGGAGTTAAGTATATTAGATGTGTTAATTTTTTATTATATCAAAGTCTGAAATTTTGTTGGAAAATATTATCTTTAAAATTTTATATATGTGAAAAATCAAAATGTTTTTTATAAGAAACTCGATAATTATTGTTTAGACTGACATTAGAAAATATGAAATTCAAATTGATATGATAATTTAGGGTTATGAAAGAATCACTAATCAAAATTTACATTACGAAAGTCCATTTCCTCTAAAATTTAGATATCAGATAAAATTTATATTTTAAAATTATTTTTTTTTAATCTAATCTTATTCTACAACAATAAATTAATTAATCAATTTTGACTTAATTAAAATAAAAAAATATATATTTATATCAAAATAATTAAATAAAATTAAAATTATATTAATAAAATTAAAATATATTTTAAATATAATAATTTAATACATAAACTACAAACAAAATATATCAACTCAATATAAAAATATTATAAGAATCAAAATCTTATTTTTCATTATTAATATTTATATTATTAATAATTAATTAAATTAAAATAATAATTCATTTTAATCATTAAATCTTAAAATAAATAAATTTAAAATATTTAAAATTATATTTATTTAAAAATTTATCAAATTAATTTATAATATATATTAATAAAATAATATTATTTTATTATTTTTATTTAAAATAATAATTATTTTATAAAATAAACTAATTCAATTATAAGTATTATAGTCTAAATGAATAGGATCAAATAAATTTAATTAAGATAATAAATTATTTTATTTAACCTAATATATTTCTCGTATCATTTTATTTCAGATAACTAATCCTATCTTCACATATTTTAAGATGCAATCTTTATTATTAAATATTATATGTACTGTATAAAGAAGATTTTTTCAAACTAACTGTTGTTATAAAATATATTTTTAAGGAACATGAAAAAGAAAAAAATCATCACTAAAGTCAAATAAAAATAAAAATTATATATATATATATATATATATATTTCATAAATAAAAAAATATTTTATAAAAATGTAATATTCTCAAACTTATCACAAACTTTAAAATGTAATATTCTTATATTTATTTCAAGTTTTGAAATTTATTTCATATTATATATATATATATATATATATATATATATAAAATATGAACTAATTAAATTAATAGATTAAAAAAATACAGAAATTATCTCGAGATATTACGTACTATTTAGTATAAAACGGATAAATTATCTCACAAATAACATGTCATTATTTTAATATTATTTTATAACCTAAGTAGTTTTTAATTTTCACCTATATAGTAATTTACTGACTTGAACATTGAAAACTTTTTATAGATGATTTTTTTTTTAAACCTAGTTAGAAGGTCATTCAATAGAGATAGATCAACCTAAAGAGTTTAAATAAGAATAAGTATATTTTAAATAAATTTATAACATTTTTTCGATGTTATTTTACTTTTTATTATGCATTGAGTGGTGAGAAAGTGATATATTGTCATGAGAATACTCCCTTAAAAATGATTTTTAATATATCTATAAATTTTATTGATTTTTTCATTTAAATTATTTTAAAAGATATTTCTAAGATTTCGAGGGTGTAATATTTTTAAATGTAGTTGGAAATAACATCTATAGTTATTTTTTGAAATCACTTGTGCAAGATAGTGGTTTTTTAACTAATATTATAATATATTTAAAAGAAAAAAATCATATTTAGCACCGTCTAAAATGAAGAAAAGACAAAAATAATACGTTATAACATTAAAATATAGAAATATGACTAACAACAGAACCCATAAGGGTTGTTAGACGTACATAAGCATTCCTTAAAATATATTCATTTAACAACTTAGTTTTATTAATATTATAATCATAAAATCGTTTAATTAAAACACAAATAATTAAAAATGATTAGTTTATTAATAAATAAAATTGCCATAATACATTAATGTGAACGAAAGAAAATATAGAAAAAAGTTTAATTAGAACATATCCGGGTTCATGAAGTCAAACTTGCACACACTGCTATTACCAAATTCTTGGAACGGCCTTGTCCTTATCCTTTTCCACCCTTCACAAGCCTCAATTCAATATCCCTACAAAGGATCACAATCAATGAGTTGTGCAATGACCGCACCGCCATCAGTTTTTATTTATAAAAAATTGTCTATAAAAATATATACATTAATAAATAATTACGTATAAATATATCCATCTATAAGTAATATCAATTAATTAATTATATATATATATAAAGTATTAATATACATATAAGTTTATCTCTATTTTTCTAATAAAATTTGAATCAGATTTTCATATTCACAATGATTTGGGTTTAGGAATATTTATTATATGTGACAATTGATCTTGAAGAGATAAAATAGTATAATAATAAAAAATATAAGACATCAAATTTGTAAATATATAAATATATTTAGTAATAATTAAATTTGAGAAGATAAAAAATCATAAATATTAATATTAAAAAATAGTCATTTAATATAACTATAAAAAATTTAAACATTCCAAAATATCTTATGAACAGTGATGAGTTGGGCCCAGTTTCTACACTATCACTTTTCTGTATCTTCAAAAGATAGGAGTGACCCATTTCATTTGAAGCAAATGTGAACGTGTTTAATCATCGTAGCTGTCATCAGAATCCTTGGTTCCTTTAGTTTTAAGGTTCATGGGTGAATAAAAATGATTCCAGATTATGATTGAAGAAAGGTGTGAAATTAGAGTGCAGGTGTTTGTTTCCGTTGCAAATTTTGTCTTGCACTCAAACCAATTGGTTTATGATTAGACCTGAAATGAAACAGAGTTGGAATTTGTATAATTTGATTTCATTAGTCGTTGCTTTGGAAATGGGTTGCGTCTTTTCCTTATTCTCTCCTTCATGCTTTCAAGACTCTCACGTTTCAACTATTTGACTTACAGGACAAACTTTTACCCACTCCATATTAAGCATACATACAAAAAATAAATGTTAATTATTTATCTTCTAAAAGAATCCTTCAATTTTTAACTTCCTTCTAAAATAATTCTAAATGAATAAATAATTCCAAATACTTTAAAAATTTAAAAATAATATTTATAATAATCAAGATAAAAAAAGTGTTTTATCTTAAAAAATTGTCAATCGACTTAAACTTCAACAAGCACGATAATCTATTCATAATTTTAGAAAATTTAATAAATATTAAAAAATTTATACGGATGAAAAACGTATTCTATTCTTTGTAATGTATATTTTTTATATATATTTGGTCAAGTTATAATTAAACACTAATGAATTCAAAGGCATGAAAAAGGATATTAATACAATTAGTGTTATTCATTATATATTTTATGAAGTTTCAATTTTTGAAAAGTGAATTAAAAATAAAACTAATAAATAGTTTATGTTAAAATACATGACTAAATAGTTGAGCTTTCTGCTTAATTAATAACTTGATTTCAATTTAATAATTCGAACATGTAAGACTTGCTGATGGAATCTTATTGCTAGTAGTTTGTTCACGTAATTGTGTTGGAAATCCTGATTAAAGAGAAAAAAATATATATTGTAGATGTTTTTAATCAATTAGTGCGTTATATTTATTAATTAAAATATCTAACTCTAGTTTATGGATAAGAAGATGACTAAAAATGTTGATTCATTGTTCATGCAAGCAATTGCTTTTATGCTATCAAGAAAAAACAAAATGAATCAATGACTATCTTGTCTGAGATTGATTTTATCGTTTAACTTTTCTAGAAAGGGGATTTTTAAGTAAAAATGTTATTTTCCACTCAAGTTAGTGGAAGAAATTAGGGTGTGAATTGTTTCAGCCATTTGTGTAATTTCGATAAAATGACATAAATTGACTATAAGTTTTACCAAATCAGAATATTACTATCTAAATTCAAGGAATAAATGCCCCAATCACATTTAAATTGGAATTCACAAGATGACGGTTTAGAATACGGGACCATCACTTTGTATATAAACGTTGACAATTAATTTTCAGTACTAATCAGTTACAGAAATAAATTATTCTAAATCTCACGTGTGTGGATAAATTTTCAAGAAATAAATATTAACAGAAGTGGAATTATTGATAGGAATATTACAAAATTATTATAAGATTATTTTCTTAAAAAAAAAAAAACATTGACTCTACGTCTTACCGTTACGCGCCTCTGATTATTTTTATATATTTTCGATCGTTATCACTATTATAATTATTACTGTTGCTTTCAATATCAGCAATGATATAATTAATTTTAAAGTAAAAGCGGAAATAATTTAAGATAGATAAAATTTTAATTTGATTCTGGTAAAAGAAAAATTAAGTATAACCTGTTTTTTAATTAGCAAAAGTAATGAAAACATTTTTTGCCTTTTCTCACATGCAATATTGTTTCTGTCATATGAAAATAATTTTCTGATCTCATTGGACTTATTTGGCCTAATTGTTATTTTTCTCCTAGAATGAATATTAATGAAGAAAAAAAGTGTAAACTAGTTTGACGTAAGCTAACAAGGTAATTCTACCAAAGAGAAAAATGGTCAATAAAAAATTTGAATACATTGTACCAACCTAATTTTAGTTTTGTTTTACTCTCCCTATACATTAAAAATAGAAATTAATGTATTACATTTTAATAAAAAAACTGATACATTTATTAAAATGCATATAATATACAGAACATTATTCATTCATTAATAACAGAACTAAAAATTTGGAAAAGGGTGTTTTGGAAAATTACTTTCTTAAAATTTAATTTGTGATAAACTACAATAATAGTATAATAATATATTATGAGTACATCTGGTTTACCTACCCTAATCTCAAGAGTTATCTGGTCTTTAACCAAGTTAAATTTGGATTCACCTACAAAAAGATTGAGATAATGACATACATAAGCAAGCACCCCTCTTAATGACAGTCTATTACAATTTTTCACATTTTGAAAATGTTATCCCCGTAATTTGATAAATAGTTAAATGTCAATCTGTACATGTTCTACTCCGGGATCGTCACTTTTCAGAATCAGCAGAATATATAGATATATACAAAATTTATGTACAAATACCACTTGAATTTTTTTATCCCAGATTTCTTCCTAGTCTCAGATTTCAGAAAACGCAGATTTTCTCTGCTAATAACCCTACTGGGTCAATTAGAAAAAAAGAAAAAAAAAAGCTTGATTCGTTTCCTGTTTCGAAGAAAATGGATTTTCTTAGGGACCCAGTTTTTGGTTTCAGTGCGGCACAATCGAATTTCTGTTGGCTTTTCTAGGTGCACTTGTTCGATTTGATTTTCCCCTGCTCCTGCCACTTTGTTATCCGTTTCTGTTCAAACAGTCACTGGTAGGAAAGAAATCCCGCGATTGGTTTTCTTTGCGTTGCTGAGTTGGAGGCGAGAGTGGCATTGCCAAAGTGCAATTGCATTGAAATGAGGGAAGTTTTGATGAGAGGGCAATGAGAGGGGTGTGTGAGGGTTCAGAGAGAATAAGATGAGTGGTGGGTCATTGGGTATTCGTTCTGGGAGTTATGGCTCTTTGGAGAAGCAGCAGCTGCTGCTACAGCACAACGGCCTGTTGCCAATTCAATCAGCACGAAAGCCTCCCAAGACGCTGAAAGAGAAAGACAGGTTCTTCCATTGGATCTTCAAGTTTGCAGGCAGAAAGAAGGTGGGAATGCTCTTTCTCTTTATCATCTCCGCTGCTGTTTTCATCTGGGTTTTGTACCTTGGAAAAGGTTCCCCACTTTCTCTTCTTCCTTTCATATCTGACTTTTTACTTATAGTAATTAATAATAATGTGATTGTGTTACCCTGTTAACTTGCATGGGAAACATCAAACATGAGTTTGAATTTGATTGATTGGTTATGACTCGCTGGAATGCATTATGCATGTCAGGTGTCTAGCTAAGGTGGAGGAAGAAACCTGTTCTGTGATTCTCATGATTTAGTTTTTTGATTTGGCTTGGTTTCAGGTGAAGATTCACATGACGGAAACGGTGTGCATAATAAGATTAGTGTTAATGAAAGTATGTCTATAGGTGATTCTCCATATGTAATCTCTACTTCAAATATCTTGGGCTTCTCTACAATTTCAATACAACCTCCGCCTTCCCCAAGCTATTTTCTGGGTTACACTCTTCCACCTGGTCATCCGTGTAATAGTTTCACACTTCCTCCTCCACCGGCAGACAAAAAGAGAACCGGGCCACGGCGTAAGTTCTTGTTTACTAAATTGTTTCTGCAAATGTTTTACAGTTGTTAAAAGGTAATTTTATAGGGAAATTTTGAATAGTATCCCTCATCGTACATAGTCAATCAGTTCCTTTGAGCTCGGGTATCTCCTGAGGATATGGAAGGCATATGGATATTTTGTGACATTCTCCTTAATATTTTGCTTGTTTGTGTTTCAGCCTGCCCGGTATGTTACCTTCCTGTGGAGGAAGCCATTGCACTTATGCCAAAGTTTCCGTCTCCTTCTCCAGTACTTAAGAACTTATCATTTATCTACGAGGAAACTCTTAGCAGGAATGGTGAATTTGGTGGTTCGGACTTTGGCGGATATCCTACTTTGAGGCAGAGAAATGAATCTTTTGATATACGAGAGTCAATGAGTGTGCACTGTGGGTATGTTTTGTGTTTTGTTGGATGTTTCCCTTCTGTATATCTATGAGTACTGAAGAAGGTTGTTTGTGGATAATTTGTTTGTTTCAGTAATAAAGGGTATTTCTCCTATCCTTTTACTCACATTTGTCCATTCTGCATCTACAATGTTGCACGTGTATATCATTCAGATTTGTTAGAGGAACTAAACCTGGCCGCAACACAGGATTTGACATGGATGAAGCTGACCTCCTCAAAATGGAGCAGTGTCATGGCATAGTTGTTGCATCAGCCATATTTGGTTTGTATTATGTGGTTTTGGCTTCCATTTAGATGTTTAATTTGGTATGTCTGATGAGTTAAAAATCTGTTGTTCAGGAAATTTTGATGAGATAAACGAGCCAACAAATATAAGTGATTATTCGAAGGAGACGGTATGCTTCCTTATGTTTGTAGATGAAGAAACAGAAAAGTATTTGAGGAGTTCTGGAAGGCTGGGAATCAGCAAGAAGATTGGTTTGTGGAGAATTATTGTTGCTCATAATCTTCCTTATACAGATGCAAGACGTACTGGGAAGGTGAGAATTATATGTCAGCAAGCACCATGAAATTAGCATATTATTTTTTAGTCATTTTTTTTTTTGCTGAAGCTTTAGAAAGTTACGTTTCTCTCTAGGATCTGGTTATTTCTATGGAAAACTAATATTGTTGGCTGGGGTTTCATCTTTGTAGAATCAATGTCAAACGAAATAGTAGGCCACACTGACTTGCCTGATACACAGAAATGGAAGCCAAGAAGGGGAAACAAATTGAAACTTAGATATGAATAGACCTAATATTTGCCTATTTATTCTCTTGTCCCAGCATTGTGACAGTTTTTATCATTCAAATATAATTTTAGCCTTTTGGTTTGAATTGAAAATAACAAATATATCTCACTCGGACAAAATTGTATTTTCTTGTTCATATAGTAGTACTTTTATGTTCTTGTAACGTAAACTGCCTTTTCTGTAGATTCCAAAGCTTCTGTTGCATAGAATGGTTCCAAATGCTCGCTATTCTATATGGCTTGATGGAAAGCTTGAGCTTGTTGTTGATCCATATCAAATCCTTGAAAGGTATATTTCAGTATTGCTCTTTGATACTACATGCTGATTCATTTTACATGTGACAGTTATGTTAAGATCTCATTTCGGTCCTACATCTATATGTTGTCTTATATGAGACTCGTGATTTTATTTCCACCTTAATGATACAGCTAACAACTACAGATGCACTAGGAGATATGAGGCTTGATATATTCCAGTAGTATGTTTCATTTATTTACCAAGAATGGTTAATTCTGAATATTTCATTTATTGTCGCAATTGCACAGTATTGACCCGAGCAGTTGTGTCTCTTTACATATCTTTCTGGTTCTCTGTCATAACAGTGCGTTGAAAATTCTGGAAGTCCAACTATGTTAGTTCCTTCCCTCTTTCTAGTCAACAAAATGCTTCTATATTTGTCTTTAGTGGAGATGAGGTGGTGAATGTTGGTATGAGTTTAATGATCGAAACTTATAACTCGTTGGACAGTAGAGTTTGTTGTCTTTAATGTGGTTGCTAAAACACAAGATGTGGAATTGCCAATTTCAGTGGACCAAATACATAGATAGTAGCATGTAAATGGAAAGTGAGGATAACTTAAATTTGAATTTTTATAAACCCTTTTCTGGTCCCGGTTCCAATTTATCCTCCTCCATAAAGGAACAATATTCAGCTCATAATAAACCATGTTTAAGTCATTTCATCTCTTCCTTAACTTCCAGGTTCTAAAATACCATTTAGACTGCTCAATCTAGAAATTCCTATATGCCCTAACAAACCTATGCTCGTGCAAAGAGTACAAGCCCAGGACAACTAGGTAGGTAAATCAAAACATGCTATGCATAAAATTGGATCAGAGATCTTCATCTCATCTTACTCTTATTATGAATTAGGATATAAATTGTTTCTATGCTACATAGGCATTTGTTCAGATTGCTATTTCACCAGTGTTAGTACTCATCAGGAGCTGGCATAAATAGAGTTTTTCAGTTATCCCCTTTAAGAACGTATCACTAGGACATTATAGGATTATATCTTCAATGTGTCTGCTTTGAAGTACTAGACTCTTGTCAAATGTCTTATTCAGCATATAAAACTATTATTTGGAAACCAAAATTGAATTGTTAGCAGCTTCTTATGTTGCTTTCTTTTTCTTATTTTCTCCTTCTCTTGTATGTTCAGTCCCCTATATGTTGGCTTTGTCATTTCATCTTGAAATCCTTCTCTTCCTCCTTCTCTATTGCAACTATTGTTCTCCATCTTGGTTGGGTGGTTATTCAATTTCCCTGTGATCAAGACCATATAATGCATCTTGCTTGAAAGTCAAGGTTGAGATTATTGAATTTTCATATATTCTTTTTTGGGTATGTCCCTGAATGATTCATTGGATGAGTGGTCAGACTGGCTGGAAGAGAGAGTCGCCTGATTTTGAGTGAGAAGCTTGACTGACTCCTCCAAGCTGTCAAGGGTTTTGGATAGAGTATTTTCCTGAAAGCACAAAGAATTATAGTTACGAATATTCTTTAAAATCGAGGACAAGGAAGCCTACAATAAGAGAAGAAAAATAAAAATTTCTGAGTGATTGATTGTCTGCTATTCTCATTCATGTCAATGAATATATAAGGGATGGTCCTATACATGCATTGCACCAGCAAAATAAGGGAATTAAATGACAGAATCGGAATCTTTTAGCGTATATGAAATAACAAACTGACTATAGAAAATAGAAAATGACATAATTACATAAAGTAAAACAATCTAGAAAGTCAAATAATGATTGTGCAAATTTCCAAAACAATCCCTGAAGCGAATGGGCTTGGTGATAATCCTCTCAGGCCTGTTAACAATGACCCCCTATTTGGTTTGATCACTCTCAAGGTTCTGTGATAGTGCAAGGTCAATATTATTGATATGTTTACTTTTGCTTGTTTACTTGGATTGTCTTGATGGAATACGTGTCTCATCACCTTAATTGCTCTCTTCCTCGTTTAGGTTTTTGTGGAGGAAGAATGCAACTTTTGCAATATCTAAACATTATAGACGCTTCGATGTATTTGTTGAGGCCGAGGCAAATAAAGCCGCCAGAAAGTATGATAATGCCTCTATTGACTTTCAGATCGAGTTTTACAAGAATGAGGGACTGACTCCATATACAGAGGGCAAACTTCCTCTTATAAGTGGTAAGCTAAACTTCGTTTCCCTGTTGGATAACATGCACCTGGTACTGGTTCATTTCTCAACCTTGATGGCTAAATTGCAGATGTTCCTGAAGGATGTGTAATAGTAAGAGAGCATGTTCCCATTAGCAATCTTTTTACTTGTCTTTGGTTCAATGAAGTTGACCGGTTCACATCTAGAGACCAGATTAGTTTCTCAACTGTCAGGGATAAACTTTTGTCCAGGGTGGACTTTCATTTTGTCATGTTCTTGGATTGTGAAAGACGCAACTTCGTAGTTCAGGTAAATATTTTATTTCGTTTGTATAAAACAATCTCAGACAGGAGATCTTCTTTTCTGGCTTCTCTCAAAACAATATAATTGATCTGTGACACACAGATATATATATATATATATATATATATATATATATATATATATATATATATATATATGTTTAATCTTTGTGCTCTGTCAGTGAACAAACTTTTATGATAAATACACTTTTTAAAGTAATTATTGTTCAATTACTAAATTTATCATACATGATTGGATAAACTCTCTTATAAACTTTTTACTCAACATTGATTGTATTAGCTAATCACAAATTATTATGTATGATAAGTTCTTAGGTTCTTTGTATAAAAATTAAATAAAAGTAAAAACATAGTTTGGTAATTATTCAGGAAAACATGCTGATGAAAATGAAGCCAACTTAATTGGCATTGATGATTTTGTTGGTTACAGAAATACCATAGGGATATATTGGAACGTCTGGTTGCTCCAGCAGTAGTTGCTCTCAGTCCTCCACCTCCTCCATTGCCTGTGTATGAAACATCACCGGAAAAGGTTGCAAGGAGGGGTCTTGGAAGGCGTGGAAGAGATAGGAGACAGGGTTCTAGACGCCACCGCAAAGTTGTGGGCGGAGGCAGGAACATACACACGGAAGCAAATTATACAGTTTTGACAGTGTGATCATATGATCGATGATTTGGGTTTTGGCATTCCACCTACAGAGATCATTCCCTAGCATGGCAACCCTAAGGGAAGAAGAGTGTTGAATCACCCTAATTCTTTTTACTTTGTGCAATTCGTTGATGGTTATTAATTTTTTTGTTGTATATAGAGTAAAAAGATCCTCAATAATTATCATTCAGGGTTGTCACTTGTGATCAAATTCCTCACTTGTGTTAACCCTCTCTGTTGTTCTCCTACAGTATAGGATAAACTGTAGTACTCCCTCGCAATTGTACTCCATCAAGGCCCTCTCTTTCTCCTTCATAACTCAACTTTCTCATTGAATCCTCTGTTCAAACTCACATTCAAGTCCATTTTTGTGAAATACTGTCATTAGTGTCTTATTATGGAAATAAAATCAAATTGTATTATCACTCTTGATGAGTTTAGTGTCTCACTCTATAAATTCGGTATTTTATTTATTTATTATTTACTTTTAAATAGTTTAAAGTTTTTTTTATCCATATCAAAATTTAAGCAGTTGACATTATTAATGTTTATTTTTAGATCAATTTTATTTAGAAACATGTCATTTAAAATTTTTTTCTATCACAACGTAAATTATCTAAAATAAATATAAATATAAAGTATAACTTATATGTTCAATTTATATAGAACAAAATTAATTATTTAAAATAAAAATGTATCAATATTAATTTATTTTATTCCACGTGTAACTGAAAAATTTTGCCCTCAACAATGTAAGAATGGCAGATATTCTGTTACGTAGTAATAGATAATTGGTTTAGGTAATGTATTTATTTTTCTTTAAAGAAAGTTATGAATTTGATATCTTGTTATTACCATATGATGAAATGGAATATACAAGCTTAAAACTATCATTAATATGCCAATTTATCCGTATTTTTTATTATAAATTTTAATTTAGTGAATTAATTTTTATATATATATATATATATATATATATATATATATATATAATTGGAACAATTTTATAAAATTATCCGGAGAAAAAGTATGTAAAAATAAAATAAAATATATTTATTTGAATAGTTTTATTCTAGGAGTATTTATATGTTTTGTAAATCTTGAACAAGAAAATTTTAAAGATATTTATCAAGTTATTGTTATTTTTGTCCATTTCTCTCTCGCTGGAGGGTGAAGAATAATAAACCATCCAAAAATTGTTTTGATTATTTAAATTTTATCTGTTTCATTTAAATCAATAAAAAAAATAAAGTTAATGCATGTTTTAAAACTTAAACTAATCATTAATGATTGAATTACCTGATCCAACTTATATTTAAAATATATAATATAATATATATAAATAAAATGTATCACATATATTAACATTAATGATATTTATGATTATTTGATATTGACTTTTTTACTATTAATTCATGGATCTTAAATATGTATTATTGTAATTCTCTCATAGGAAAAGTGTTTGTATCCATATTAATTTCTTAAGGAAATAATAAATTCATGAGAAATCTTTTATTATAAAATCCCATGTTAAACCTAAATTTAAACCAAAAAGACTATAAATAATATAACCACATAATAAAATAAATTGTTGAGACAATGTTTTGAAAATTAGTCAAAATTGAAATATCATTTATGGACCTCACTCCTAGCCTTCCATAGTTTTTTCAAAGAATCAAAATTGATCATAAAATAAGCATGACCAAAATCACAAACATCAAAACGGCATTTTTGACATGGATTTTATCTATTTTAATTAATTCTCTATTTATGAATATTGAAATAAAATTTTATATTTATCTTTTTCTGTTGCCAAATGTTATCCTAACTTGACAGTGGAGTAACAGAGGGTCCCAGCGGATCGTTATACCGTAGCAAGTCTCTCACTTACGTCACATTAACAGAATCTTTTGCCCTAAATAATTTGTAGTTTAATTAGCAGCGTTTTTGGATGAGTGAAAGAACCGAGAGTAAAGAGCATGAGGTTGGGTTGAGTGAGAGTGGGGAGTTAGGGTTTGAGAGATGAAGAACTGAGAGTGAGAGTGGGAATGAGAATGGCATCGTCGTCGTCGGCATTTATGGTGATCTGCTTCCTGCACTCGGTGATAGCGATGACGTGCGGGGCGTTGATGATGTTCTACATGAAGGAGGTCTACACGTTTGGCCACGGTGTTCAGGCTGCCACCAAGCTCTTGGGATCGACGCCGCACGACCAGCTCCTCATCAAGACCTCCGACTCCTTCTCCGGCCTTCTTCTCGTCGCCATTGGCTTCCTTCTCTTCATGGTCTCCTTCGTCAGGGACCGCGATTTTCAGGTCTTCTTCGCCAAGGGCTGCACGCTTCTCCACTTCTTCATGGCCATGTGGAGGATCTACTTCGAACGCAAAGTGGAGGATCTCGCCTGGGATTGGCTCCGCCAGACTGTCGGTGACCTTCTCTTGGCCCTCTCATGGGTCTTCTTCCTTGTTTACTCTTGGAGGGAGAAGTATGATTAGTTCCCCCTTTTCTTTTTCTTTTCCCTTTCACTTTTATTTTTTTTTAATTTAAAATCTTTTCACCTTTGGATTTACCTTGTAAAGATCGGATCTCACTTTTTCTATCAAATCTGTGTTTAGAGATACCTTCTCAATTGCCTTTCTTCCTTCCCCTGTTTCGGCATTAATCGTAGCGTAAGTTTTTTAACTGCAGTTGCCCAAGACATTAATTAATCTTCCGATAATCAAATCAAACTTATTCTGATTCTTGTGGACTTGAGATAGATTTCTCTGTAATTTTGAGGTGATTTTAATTGACTAGTGTCTCGAGTTTGAGAGAGTTGTGCATATTTTGATGGGCAGGGTAAGCTGTTGTGTTTGTGGGTTTGGGTGAATAACAATTCGATGTGTTATTTGTTTATTGAGGGTTTAGAGTCACGGAAACTAAAAGTTGGTGCATTATATTCTGAGAATTGTAATTTCATTTAAATTTAAATTTTTGGAGTTTAAAACTCTATGGTTATTAGCTGACGCTGCCCTTCATAATTAAATATCCAAATCAAATCCTAAGACATCATTGAATACGTGACAATTATTGAATTGAATTGACCTGTGTCTCAGATATATGTCAATCTGTTCCTCTATACTTATACTTTAAGCTCATAGTTTTATTTGCTAGATTGTCAAATTGCATGTTTACTCATGAGATGGGATGATCCTATGATTTTCACACTCCCTTTTGAGTCCTGTTCACTCTGAATATCATATTCTGGCGGGATTTTATTGATAGGTCTAGGTAAGCTTGTAAAATCACTGGAAACAGTGATCTTTGATGAGTTGAACCGTGACACTGATTGGTTAAGCTGGGTAACCTTTGACTATGACAAACTAGCTAAGTCAGCTGTTGTTGAACTAATACCTATGTTTTAAACACTGGATAGTGTATGGCGGGATAGTTTCTATGTGGAGTTTTGTTGTAGTTTATATAATGTATATATGCATATAAATTCTCAAAAATGATAAAAAATATTGAAAATTAATAACATTTAATAATAAACTACAATAACTCATAGATGTCTTAACTTTTAAAACATGTAAGAAAATACCAAAAAAGTCTGATACAAGTTTCCTAGATAGGAATCATCAATCATCATCTTCTAAATCCAAGTCATCTTTATCAATTTCACTATTATTATATGTACAGGTTTCACTTTTGGGATTTAGAGTCCCAAAAATACCCCTCCAACAAATCCTTACTGTCTATTTTGGAATGAACATATAGAGCTGCAATGACCTCTATTCAGCCCACTAATTGGTCTGCTGTCCGTTACACTAAACTACTATGATACAACAACCCCTGAAGTTTGCAGAGGCCGCTCTGCACTGCTATAATGGGTTATAGCACGATGTTTAAAAACCCTGTCTAATGAGTGTTATTATCCTCTCTCACAGCCCAACTCTCAACCTGAATTCTTTCAATTTGTTGTCTTTCAGTCTGTCATTCCTTGTTCTTTGTTGTCTCTCAAAGCCTGAAACTCAAACCTTTGTTGCAAGGGTTGGTTCTTTCATTCTTTTATTCTAGAATTCAAGTTCATGGTATCTATTTTTCATACTTGCTGTTTTGCTTTTCCTGATTTGTCTCCACCTCGGCTTCTCTGTTTCTTTTGTCTACATTCTGACTTATATATTCCTCTGTTTTTCTGCTGTGAATATTTGAAGATATCTCAAGTAGGTTTATCTAACATTGCTGTCATAGACTAGAAATAATTACTAGCATCTTACAATGTGGGTTTTGAGCACATAATTTGTGTCTTCCATCATGTGGTCCTACACTGGATCTTAATTTTGACAAGCGTGGTTGCTGGAAGACAGTGTATATGGCGGAATCCATATTTCACCTACTTCAACATTGTGAGTGTCTTACATGTGGACAGTGCATTTGTTTCTCACTTGTCCCCTATCTATTATTCCCGTAACTTCTCCATCTATATTTTGAGTTAGGATTAGCCAATGATTTCTAATGTGATGTGATGTGATGCATTAGAGCCATTTTGACAATCTACATGAAATATTTGTAGTACTACAATAGTTATTGTTTTATGGGATGTTTTAAATTATTTTATGTTAGGAACCAAGAAAACTTATACCCTTACGTTTTATCTGGTTCCAAATGGAGTGAATAATTTGCGCTATATGCATCACAAGATGCGCAGAAATTTTTCTTGACCTTTCTCCTGCAAGGCCAGTTATTGAATAACTGCCTCAGGAAGTGACTATTGACTAGTTCACATATATGAAGAACTGTGTATAATATGAATGCTGGTGTTTTATTCTTAGCAATGTTGCTCCCGGACTGTTTCAAATTTAGAAATCTGCTTGATTCTAATGCTCGTGATTGGGGGTGATCCTCTCCTAATTCTGATGTACACTACATAGTATGAGATTTCTCAATTTTAAGAGGGTTTGTGTCTAGGGATTGGGATTTTTTATCCATACAGCTGATTCAAGCTTTGGTCAAAATTATGCTCTATTGTACCAATTGGAAGCCAAAGTGATTTCAGTAGCACTGGGTGTTGGGTGAAAGGTATTTGCGCCTTCTAAGCTCCAATCCATAAGCTCATTTGGATCCCGGATCCCTAGCTGCGAGTTTTCATAATCTCCATTATTTATCATTATTTAATTATTTACTGCATCTTTGTTGAATAGAGTTAAGATTTCAAGGTTGTTTTTATTTTGTAAGTAGAAGTTATTTAACATTGTTTTTTTCAATAATATTTTAATGCAAATTTTATTTATGAGCGTAAGTTTTGAAGAGTTGTAAGTGAATATAGCTATTATGTGGCGTTCTATAGTTGAAAATGAAATATTGTCATTTTGGGTGGCTATTATGATATTGTTTGTATATCTCAGTCAAAAGGGACAACTACTGCACATCGGTATGTTCTCCGAAGGGCGTAGTACCTCGACATTTATTTTCTGCTCAATACCTGATAATGTATACCCTGGCCTGAGTAACAACACCAGGACCAAATCTGGCTAAGCAACTTACAGCACAAGAAATGTTAGTATATAATGTCTAATAATTCATGATTATTGATGGAAATTTATGTGAGACTTATACATTTCTAGTTTTAAAATGAAATCATTTCTATGAAAAAGTTGATATTCATTTCCGTTTAAAATTTTTCATCATCTTATTTATAGAAGGTGAAAGCTCTTTTGAGTAATCCTTTTATATATTATTGGTTACATTTTTATCTTACTGATATATCTTGCATTGTTGCAAATTACACGTTATCGTATTTTATATGTCATATCTCATTAACATGATTATGTCACTCCTTATCAATTTGATTATGCATATATTTATGGAATATATTATCCTTTTATTGGTATATTTTAAACTATTTCAAATTACACCTTATCAAACTTTACCTATCATGTTTTAACTCCTTTGAGATTCCTCTAGTAAAATTCAATAGATAAGAACTTTATCAAGAATATCATATCTTATTTGTCATAGTTAATCTTTGGAGACTTTTGTCATGTTAACAAGAACTTCATTACAAATATCAAGGAAAAATTGTGGATAACAATAATTAATTGGGTCACCTTTCTAGATCTTGATAGAAAATCTAGAATGAAATTCTAATTTTGTTTGAATGAGAAATCACACCCAACAAGTTTGAGTATAAGTGGATTAGGGAACATTTTATTTTTTTTAATTCAAGATCTTGAGGTTGAAGAATTATTCATTTAAACTTCAAATTTATATTAAATGAAAATCAAAATTTTTAGGGTAGTTTTAATGTTAGCGACATTATTATCAGATAGAATTTTGTTCGAAATATAATTAGAGTTTAACATTTTTTTAAGGAGATAAAATTATATAAATTATATGTAGAAGAGAAGAGAATATTTAAACATGAAATAACAAACACAACCTGAATTTTAATGTTGTTTTGAGCTCTAATTTTTTTTTTTCAAAGATATTTTTAATGAACTTTCTTCTCAACAAAGACTAGAAAATTTTATGAAGGCAAACCAAATAAAGTATGATCTATTAAAAATTTAGAGATTGAGAGTGGCCAATTAGTCAAATAATTTGTGACAAAAATTGGAGGTTGTTATCGCTGAAGAGAATACAAAACATAATTGACAAATTGATTGACATCATTCAATTAAAAGTAATCGTTATTCATTTATCAAGCTAATGATGTTAAAAAAAGGGAGGCGTTGTGTTGTATAAATAGTGTTTACTCTATTTATTTGTCTTTTAACAAAATGAAGTTAGAGCAAGTTTGTCACTTTCATCGCTCACACACTTTCGTTCCAACGAGTAAATGATGAGTTTGTACATATTTTTGTTGAAGCGCATGTTTGGGTCACTCAAGCCAAGAAATTGGTATGGTAAAAGCGTTAGAGAATCATTTTTGCTAACCCAACAGTTTCTCTTCACTTTAAAATATCTTTCTTCGCTTTTAAAATATCTTTCTCCTCTCTTTTAATCACATCCAAGTTGTTTCTAAAACCTCTTTTCTATATTCTTCATTTTCTCTTCCTCCTCTCATTCTATTTTGCATTCTATGGCAAGATATTCACCATCATTTGACTTCACCTCTTTTGCAATCATCTAGAACTCTTACAAATGTAATTTTCTTTTACAATTTCTCCATTACACAACAAATATTATTTTATGATTTGATTATTTGTAGTTTAGGGTTAATATTGTCAAACAATTTGTTTTTTATTTAACAAGTATGAAAGGAAATCGTTGGAGCAATTTCAAATCTCCATAAAATATTCTTGACGTTAGAGATTGCTGGAGTGACAATTGTTGCAGTTCCATTGACAACAAGCAAAAAAGCTTTAATTTTATTAAAAGGGATTAACTTGATCAACTATGTTTACTATTTAAATTTTTATAAGAATTCATGTTATTTGTATTTAATTTAATTTTAATTTTTTTTACTCCACAATAAATTTTAAAAATGTTTTATCAATCCTCCTTAATTGATGAG